GGAAAAGATATTTTTGTTATTTTTTATTTCGAGGGTAGTGTTCGAGACAGCTGAAAAGCATCGCGCAGATTCTGAAAACACAAGAACCAGAGAGCGTTTCTTCATACCCTCTTTGGCACATAGTGTTTGGAAATGGTTTTATGTACGGGCAGTTAATATAATGAATTAAATATACTTATTTTTTGTAGGGAAAACTTTAGCCAAAATCGTCAGATTTTGCAAAAGCGGCTCGATTTTTTGTTGTATTTGGTCCCAATTTGCTTATTTGGATCGTCATTTCGCGTGAATTCCATTTTTCGCAAAAAATCGACTTAACTTTTCGATTTTTCAGGTCCAAATTTGGGCCTCACCTGTGGTTTGAGTACTGTGAGTTGTGCTTTTAAGTTTATGCCTTCAACCTTTCATCTCACATTGCCCTGTTTAGGACTATAGAATCATAGATTAGGATGTCTTTCTGGTATGGAGCCCTTAGAGGGTGGAGTTCACCTTGGACCGTGACGATGTGCGCACGGGAGGATATGTCCGTGTTATGTGTTGTGAGAACAGTCGGGTTTATTCTGGATTGCTATGCGGCGTTCGGACGTCCACCAGAAGCGAGCGCGTATCCTGATTTATCCATTGAATGCACACTATCCATCCTGAAACGTTTTAAACCGTATAGATGGAAACCGTGGTATTGATAACAATATAAAGTTACTATTCACTTGCATTTATGGTTGCTGATTACCATAATGCTATGAGGCTTTCTATATCACTTTTATAAACTTGATTTTTTTTCTAGGCAATTATTATCATAGGTAAGGAATAGATTAAATTAACTAAATTTTGATATTGGTAAGCAAACAAGGATGGGTTCGAGACGCACGATTAGGAAAATTGGTTCCCTACAAGTGAAGAATTGGATCGTATGATTGAAAGAAATAATGAATATCAAGAACATAGGCATGAATGGGAGCTGGAAATTGAAAACCTCAGTGAAAAAATAAAATCTATACGTGATCGAAAGCGTAAGTGATTGGAGGATATAATGGTCTATGAAAGGTCTGATACCACGTTTGGGATTGGAGAACCCCGACGTACTTCAGATGCAGTAGTTTTGCCGGAGGTGCAGTTCAATAGCAATATCCCTTTCATTCAAAATGATAAAGGGTATCCGCAGTGCCATAAGTTTGGGTCCCATTTAGAAATTCCTTTTAGGGGTAGGGTGGAGTAAAAAATAAGTGTTTTTGGTATTGAACCTAGTTATCCATATTTTTTGGCGACATACAGGTAAGCCATAGGGTGATGTTGAGACTTTATGATTTTATCATATATTTTGATAAAATACTATTTTTGAAAATTTAATAAACATTTTTCTTGTTCAACGCAAATCACGTTAACTTCAATTTTAGACCTTATTTTTTAGATCTCGATGCGATCTATTCTATTTTAAAATAAATTAATTGTAACTCAACTGAGCGCGTTTGGTGTGGATGTATCTAGGTTCAACTGGGTACATACGTATGCCCATTTTGCTCTATAGGTAAAGTGTTAAATATCAAGCACAATATTGACTATGGGTTTATTATTTTTTATTAAAAAAACTATACTAGTTTTAACGGAACAACTAAGGATGGAAGATGTATTATATGAAATGTCAGATAATTTTACTAAAACGAATTGTGGATGACACTTTGGGTGCATAAAAATTGTATGGAAATAAAAATACATCCTCATCCCTATTTTCTGCCATTTTTTTCAGTAGAGAAACTTCTATATTTGTGTTTAAAAAAAAGGTAAAAAAAGTAAAGATATGTGAATTCAGCGGTTTCTGAAGGTTACTTGCATTTTTAAAGCCGCAGTTTGTAATTTTTTTTATAAAATTACGTTGAGTCTGCGGCGGAAACGAACAAACCAAAAGGAAAAGCTTGGCGGCGGCATGAATACTGAATATTCAACCGAAATGACCAAAAATATATCGCCTAAGGGGATCGAATAATCGTCTTTGATTCCCTTTGGGGAAGGAATAACTGAAATTTGGCGTATTATGATAGGACCCCCGTCGCCCACACAACCCCCACAAGAAAAAAAAAGTTGGATTTATGGGGTGTGAAGAAACGGAAAACAACTTATGCCCCCCATTTGAAAAAGAATTATAACATTCATGTGGTGAAGAAAATTCCAGTTTGGAAATGAAAAGAACTAATGTTTGAAATGGAAACTTAAAACGTGAAATGGATACCCCCACGCCAGCGTGAAAGTATAATGATGAATCGTTTAAAACAAATCCATTTTCATTTAACGGAACCCAAATTGATTGACAAGCCCCTATTTGGACGGCGGAATACCAAGCGCCATCTTTTTTCCTTTGTCTTGGCGATTAAAATAAATTATAGAATGTTCACTTAATTTGGAAAACCCACCGTTATAGATTCGGATTCCATTAAATAAAATTTGTAGGTCAATGATGGTGGCGGTGGAATCCGTTAATTGAATAGATTCTGGAATGTTTTTTGCGGGGCTTTTCTGAATATGGGGTCAAATAAAACAAGATTATCGACCCTATCTGTTTTTTCCATGAGTGCGGCGCATGAATTTTAAATTTTCCCCCCACCTTTGATGTGTGTTCCATCGACGCGCGGGTAAGGAAAATAGGGATTCCGTATTATGGGCCCAAAGTACGATATAAATAGCTTACGAGGGTTTCAAATATTATTGGGAATATTGAAGCCTTTTTGGGGACAGTGGTGTTCGTAGGACGTTGTTGAAAAATTAAATTGGGCCGTTTTTATTTTTATAGGGCCGTGATGATAATTGTTTGAACCGTAATGGTGTTGGCTTTCCCCTTGATATGGATCAGCAACGCTTTTGTTTTCAATATGATGGGTGACGCCTTAGGATAAACTTCAGATTTGGTGAGGGAATGAAAAATTGGCGTGAACTTTGTTTAATTGCGGTATATATATTTGAGCGGGGATGGTTATATGGGAATGGGAAAGAATTACGAGGATAGAATGGTCGGAACAAATTAACTTATTTTCACCGAAGAAAACAAAATGGTTTAGATGAAATGATATTTTAAATATACTAAAAATCATATAATATAATAACAAAATTCATAATTAAACATCGATATAATGGAAAATATTAAAATAATTCCATTCAAAGAAAATAAAACGCATAGGGGGAATGTCTTCGCCGTTAAAGTGATATTATCATTCCATTTCGAAATGTTTGCCGGCCCATTATTCCTTTGAAACCTTGGGAGAATCCTCCGTATTTGAATTTTAATTAAGGTTGATTTGGGATTTTTTTGATAAAAGACTTTTTAAAAAAAGCGCTTTGTTTTTTTTATCTCGTTTTGAACGAAAGACTTTATTGAGAAATTTCACCGTATCGACCAATAGGTCGCATTTCCATTTTAAAAAACGGATTCGTTTTATGTTGTTTTTAAACCCAATGGATTGAACAAGAGCCCTATTTGAACCGCATTCGAGCGTATTTTAGAAACGTTTTGTTTTTTACGGTCCTATGCTATAAAGTTTTTTTTTTCCCTTGGTTTTGTTTCCGGTATCTCGATGAATTCCCGGGGTAATTATTTAATTTTGGTCATATCCATCGGGGATTTCAGGTTTGGTGTACTCATGATGGTTGGTGTGGGGCGAACCTCTGGAATGATTTCAAAAATTATAAATTTTTTTTCCGAGTTTATGATTTAAAATATTTATTTGGCGAAGGGTATAAAGATAAATGCGAATAATTATAATAGATTCAAAATTTAAAATAGACAAGAAAAACGTAAGATACCAAATCGAAACTTTTTTTAAAATTTTTGGTTCGTCGGCGTTGTGATTTTTTCAAATCCGTAGATATCACCTTCTTGGAATTATTGAATAAACGGAACTCAGTTTTTTTTTTACTTTCCCTGACCTTCTGATTCCGAATAAATCTCTAGCAAATTATTAAAACCGCGCATTGTAGAAGAATCCGGCGATAAAATGGACCACCTTCGATAGGGACTTTAAGAATCCAAACCCTCACCCCCACTACGATATTCATATGCGTCGAATTCAGAAGGTTCTTCGCTATTATCAAAAGTGTTGAAATTAACATCACGTTCCGTTCATTCCAAATAAACGATTTTCCTTAATTCTTTTCTGAAAAACTTATTGATTTCTTAAATCTCATTTAGATCATGACCCCCTTGCGTGTCAAAATAATACAATTCCTTCTCGAGCCTCCCTAAATATTCATCAAGATCGCCATTATCGAAATAACCGCCCTTGTTGCGTTCCTCGTTTGAAAAATCTGTTTCGGGCAGATATCGAGGCCCTTCGCCAAAAGGCCCGGGACCAAACTTTTCATAACACGCCATCATTTCTAAAAATATCGTATTTTCTCATAAATTTCTAGTAATTAAGCATCGTTGAACCCCATCGCGGATTTTCACCATCGCATCATCATATGAAATTTGCGTTCCCTAAACCAAAATCCAACTTTCTCGTTTGATATGAAAGAAAATCATCCCCATCCCATAATTCCATTTTATGGAGATTGTCGATAAAGATCCATACAACTTGTTCTAAAATTACTCAAAAAGACTATCCGACGAGGGGCCTAGAATAAAATGGATATTATTAAGCAAATTTAATAAATATAAATAATAACTATGTCGGAAATGTTGGTGTATTTTAATTTATTTCTTAATTCCATAACCCCTGAATATGTTGTGAAATATAACCAAGTTTACGTTTAATTTTTGATTTCCATATTCATTTTGTGCTTTAATTGGAGGCATATTTCGGATGGTGTCTTTCTATGCCGTGTTTTTTTCAATAGAATTTCGTATATCGATTTCCAATTCCTTATCTATTTTAATATGAATTGGCAAAAATAGTTAGCAATAGAAGCCAAACGCAGAAGTTTGGCGGTTCTATTTTTATCGGAGGCATTGGATATCGTTGATTTTTATATTTGCTTCCTTTTGGGGGGGTGGGAGGGCCATTTAACCGGGATAAGGTAAATACCGAATGGCATCGTTTTATGGGTATTCGCATGGTAAAATCCCCCATATTAAATTTTTTTCTTTGATGGGGGAGTCATTTCCGATAAAGACAAATCGTTTGATATCAAGGTTTAACTTTTATTAATATTTTTCATATTCGGAAAAATAGTAAATAAATTTAGAAATTGAAGCCATTTCAACTCATGATATGATATGGTTTATTAAATCAACCTAAATGGAAAATTTGGATTAATGGTGATAGGAATTTTGGATTTATGGGAAATTTCTAAAGTCGTTTGCCCTCAACTTCGCCCCATTTCACAAACCCTATAAAAATATTGGATTCATAAACAAGGATTTCTTCCGGTTCATGGTCCTAGGCGGTGGGGTCACACCTTCAAATCGCTCTAAGACCAAAAGGGAAAGTATGCCTGCACAACTTTTGGTGAAAATGATAGAATTTATTCCGGATTGGTAAATTTTTATTTAAACATCCATAAAAAACACGATTTGCCTATCACTTTCTCAAGAATCGAGTCATATACGTATAGGCGGCGTTTTTATTACTCCATATAGAATTTTCGAAGTGGATGTCAAGCATTTAACTCTATTTTTATATGCTAAATTTGTTTTAAGTAATCGGCCATTTTTGTTTTTGTTGTACCACATTATTTCAAAATTTATAGATATTTTTAAACGTAAAGGAAATCTCCGTTTAAATAACGATTCCATATATTTAGTTTAAAATATACCAAAAAGAATTAAATAATGTTTAGACCGAACCATCGCAAGTATTTTTGGACATTTTTGTAATTCATCACATGGATAAAGCAATTTTGGTGTGAATATTGATGCATTTTTTATCATTATGGGTTCTTAACTGGATTTTTCCCCATCATCAAACTTTTTTGGGGGGGTCGGGGTTAAAATATCATACGTGTTTTCAATCGGCCCTCATGATTCCACAGTTCTTTAAAAATTATGTTCATGGTAAAACATAAATTTTTAGATCTGAGCAAGTTAAATTACTGTTATCATTGTTGTTTATTTATTTTTGGCGACGTGTTCATGCCAAATATAAAATTATTTTATTAAATGTGTAAAATATGTTTTGGTTTTGGGTCGAATGGGGTGGGGATAGTGATGGGCAAGAAACAAAAAACATAAAGCGATATCGGACACAACCGTTGAGGTGCGTTTCTTATTTTTCATTAATATATAATCGGGATAAACCCTTATAATCCTAAAAGTTTGTCCGACATATCCGATTCTAATGCTGGATTGTCTGGTTCTGTGGGGATACCCAAAATAGGTATTTACCACGCATGGGTTTTGTTTAATTCCATGAACAGTCCTTTTGTTTTCGCAACATTGGATCGAAACTATCGGGGTGGAAATCATAGAATGAAGAACTGGATATGACACCCATATTGTTATGAAATAACACCCTCGCTCCCATCTTAATTTCCATAGGATCACTTATCCTCGTGGGTTCCAAATTTCTATCCTGAATTATGCCGAACCGGTTAATTTCGGTTACAATTTAAGAAAAACTTTAATGGGAAAAGGTCGTGATGCCGTATCCCTGTCAACGTTTCTGTCCTTTTAAATAAAAATTGACGCAAAAAAAGCCTTAACAAACCACCAAAAAGACCACGGGGAAAGATCGATATGTCTTTTAAATCCGTTTTTTGATCGGTGGGTGGAGATTCCGCCATCGAATGACGAACTTAGGGCCTTGAAAAAGGTGACAAAACAGCCAAGACATGTTTTGTATTTATGTCTAAGCGTAAAATTTTAAAGAATCAAACCCGATACTTATCGTTTGTTTTTGTTAATAAGGGATGTGTTTCCGAGTTAAAATAATCATTTTTTTCACCGCGCTTTTTGGAAAACAACCCCTGCCACGGCCATTATCAAATTTCAAGACGTAACTAAGGTTTACTTCAAAAATAGCTTAGGTCGGAATGGTGGATGTCTGAAAAACATTGTTTTGGATGCTAATTCTTTTTGTTATTTTAACGCCACCGCCAGGCAGAGTTCTTATAGGAGCAACCAAAAAATATAAAATCAAGTCACTGTGAAAATATCCCGTTTGGCACCAAAAAGTTCTATTTATGTTCCTTAATTATTTGGCGGTTTTGGAAAGTATTAAGAACGTCAAGGTGTCGTCTTCAAATCTTCGCGATCGATCACGGATTCGCCTCCATGAACTTTATTTGGGTGCTCTTTTGGGAATAAAAAAGTTGCGGTGGAACCATTTGAGCATAAATGTGCATTTTTAACAAAAAAACAAAAATAAAAAGCTAAACTTCTCATTTATTTCAGCCGCTTGGGTGATGGAAATTTTAAAAGAGGCTTTTGGTTAAAATCCCTCCTATGATCACAGAATTCCCCCCGCCTAATCTTTATTTTAAGGGGAAGGTGTTCCCCGAATTATCCTTCAAACTTTTCGATCCATCGTTTATCTATCACAATTGGAAAAAAAAATATATTTTTTATGGTTTATATAATTCGGTTTTAATTGTTTCGCTCAAGAAAAAGTTGTTCCCCAAATATAAAATATTCTATTGTTTCGCGAATAAACTTGTTATTTGGGTCGTAAATGGGCTTATTTCTCGTCGTGTCTTAGGATTTTCCTTTTGGCGAACAAATATTAATCAGCGTAATCGTCATAGTTTGATAAAGCCTTTAATCCAGGAGATCGGCCAAATGCATTTAAAAAAGGATGAAGGCCCCGAATTAAATATTTTATTCTAATGCGCCTTGTTCCGGGGAATTTGAATATTAAATCGGGATTTTTTTGGCGAAGGGGGATGGAAATTTCGTGCCGGGATCGATTTTAACGTATTTAGGGGCAGGTGAAAAAAATCAAGGGGTCAAACATTTCGTATCAAAACCATAGCTGCGCGCTTGTTTGCTTCCCCTACCAATTCCTAAGGATTTGTTTTGCTGTAGTGGCCGTGCGGGGGGATTGTCAGAATAAATGGCAGTTTGCTAACTTTTATAAAACTTAGCTTTCCAAAATTTATTCCAAAAAGGGCAGTGTACCTCCTGTACCTTTTTGAAAATTCCTTTTGTGCAGGTCTAAAAAGAGATCTCATTGCAGACTCCTTTGCTGCTACATATCCCCCGCCGTTAAAAAAAAATAGCCACGCCGAGTCGATCTCAGGGATCTTGATGTCATCTCTGCCACTTGCATCTCATAGAGCCGCATCGCTGCATTATGGATGCTCCCCTGTTTATTTAAAGCCCCTTCCCCCGGATAAATACGTTTCATTGGGGATGCCGGCCGTACGACTACAATACATTTCAAGATAAATTTCACTAAGCGACATTTGTGCCATTTTGGGAGTCAATGGCTTTTTTTGTTGGTCACAAATTTTTCTTATTGTCCGAAAAAGCGTGCGAACTCCTTAGACCCATTAAGCCATTCATTCTTGTGAATACGGTGGTTAACCTTTGTGGAAGTAGTATACCCTATTGCAAAACAATGAAATGATAAAAATGATCAATAGGTGGTCGTAGGCCAGTTGGAGAAAATTGTGGTGAGTAAAATATCTGTTTTCAGTATAGAGCCGATCTATTCACTATTTTTATTTGCGTTTTTACTGAGAAAGTCACTTCGGGATCAGAGGGGTGGATGGTTCAACACCTAATGAGTATGGTATTATTTAAAATATACCATATAAACATGATAAAAATATCGGATAAAATCCAAATACCAATAACTGGAATGCATCTTCATGAAAAATATACTTTTTTTTACTAAAAACTATATTATGAAATTGATGAGATGATTTTAGAATACTAGAGTTTGGGATTATCTATGTCATCCTAACACATAAAATTCATGTTTTTATTTTGGACGTCACAAAAATAAACTTTATGAGAGCAGTAGATTCTTGTCGTAAGATTTACCTAGATGAATAAATTGTCATCCATCTTTCTTTCAAAAAATATTTACTGAATAATTATATCTACACAAAATCGATAGCAAGTATACGAAAAATAATAAAAGTAAAGTAATTATTTACCTTACCCTTCATCATCTTTTCTACGTCTGGTGTGTAAATGTTTGAAAATCTTTAATTCTACCTCGGATAGTGATTGTTGAATTTGATATCCGAGGAAGGAATGTCGTATTAGGAAAATTAGAACTTTTATAACAGGAATTATTAGACTACTACAAGCTTTCTTTTCCTTTAGTGCTTCTTTTATTTTATTTCTATGCCAATCTGAAAGGAAGCTTATTAACTATATGATCGTCTTATATATGCCATAGCCATTTTTCTAAATAAGTTTTATAAACTTGATCGGTGTCTACCGCCACAGCAGAGTAAAGATTTGAAATAATTACACCATCTGGTTTGTGGAAAAAATGGTAACTATCAACCTTAATATTTATACGAATATCGTTTAAATTGTTTTGATTAATTGGGTAATCTTTTTTTGCGTTTTTCTTCTATCCTTATACAATGCTAGGAAAGGGGTTGTCGTGTCTGGATCTGATTCATGTGTTGAACCTTACAGTAGGTTAATATGGTTTATTCCTATTATGGAAATTGTACAAACCCTAAACTTGAGCAAGCTATTTTTGAGTCTATTTGTTTATTTGGTTAATAAAATACATTGTCATTTTTGTAACTACACGTACTTACAAATTCTTTAGTATTTAACTTATGGATATATATATATATATATATATATATATATGTATTGTTCTCACCTTTTTTTTTGAGGCTCACATAGTATTTTTAGCACCCTTATAAAACTATCATGGATACTTACAGCATTGTCGATGCCCCAACTTCGGTGGACTACAACACAAAATGCTGTTGTAAGACCACAGACGATGTTTATTACCAGGTTCCAAAGGAATACTTTTGCTTGAATCAGAATTTGATAAGGCGAAAGCTGCCGTTAAATGAACCTTTCCAGGTTCCTCTTAACCGCCGTACCTTTGAACCACTTTTAAAACTATTGGAAAAGGCAACACTTCTTTCCTCCGCTGCAGTTGAGGATGAAGCTAGAGGTACGAAAAGTGAAAGGCCGGAATGGATGCGTGATCTTAATAAACGGGAGGAAAAATTTGTGAGCACCTGTCTTGGTATTACGAATTGGGATGGTAAAGATGTTGCTTTTTATGAAGAGACGTTGCCTAAGATCGATCAGGTGGTTTGGGTTAAAGTTACACAAGTTAACGACACTTCTGCTGTTGTTCAGTTGCTTGAATACAGCAAGCGCGAAGGAATTATTCCTTATACTGAAATAACACGGAGGCGTGTTCGCTCTATGGGCAGACTCATTAAAGTTGGTCGCTGCGAAGCTGCACAAGTTATCCGTATTGATGAGGAAAAGGGATATATTGATCTTTCGAAAAAGCAGGTTATGGGTAGTGAGGCAAAAGCATGCGAAGCAAATTTCCGAAAAGGTAATGAGGTACGCTCCATCATCTGCCATGTTGCAGAGGAATGTGGTATTCCCGCCTATGAGGCGATGGAGAAAATTGCTTACCCGTTGTACCGCCGAGAGCCCAAAAAGCATTCCTGGAACTGGCTTTACGAACTTAACCAAACGCAAAATATTGATGAAATATTGGGTCCTCTGGATCTTTCGAAGCAGCTTCAGGATAGCCTCATGTCGTGTCTTCGGAATGCTATGCGCCTAAAAGTGCTAACGCTTCACGCAGAAGTTGACATTACATGTTTCACATGCGATGGCGTTGAGGCCATTCGCGACGTTTTGCTTATCGGAAAGAACTATGGTGAGGGGAGGGAGCCTCATGTTACCATTACCGTAACTATTATCGGCCCGCCGAAATACGGTCTTCGTGCACGGACCGATATGAAGGAGGAGGGTCTGCAATTGATGAAGGAATCAATAGACGCAATGAAGATTGAAATAGCAAAGCGTGGGGGGCAATTGAAGGTTGTGACTGCACCTCAAGCGATTGGAGAGGAAGATGGTCCAGATAAAAATGATGAACAAGAAGGTGAAGAGGAAACTGAATAAATAAGTTTTGGGGTATAGATAATTTCTGTAATTTAAATGTCATAAGATCTAGTTTAGTCTTCTTAAGAGCTGACGTTTCCAGAATAATTAATTGTTCCTATAACTCTAAGGTGCCTGGTGAAAATTTTGCGTCTCTGCATGTGTTGACACTAACGAGAAACCATGAGAATTAGGTTCTTTATTTCTTTGGAATCATTTTGCTTTTCCAATTTGATTGATCTTACCTTTTTCTTTTATCAAATTTTAATGGATAGTTACTAGGACTAGCATTTGCACGTTTTTTTGTTTTCCAAGTCCAGGTATGTCCCAAGAACGTCAGGCATTGCAAAAGGTAAATTTAGAGGAAATTAATGAAACCACAGGTTTTTATGTTGCTGAAGAATACGTCTGGAAGGCTTTTGAAAAGGGCTTCCTAACAGCTGGGGAGGATGCAGATGGTGATGTCAATAGTTGGGTCGAACGTTTTTGTTCGGAGGCTGAAGAACATGGCACTGTTTTCGACCAGAACTTTGTAAAGTCTATTTGTACTCTTGGTATCTATGCAGGTCTTCGAGACGAATTCCACCAACGCTCTGGCTGTGGCAAGTCAATTTATCCAAATCGTGATGAGTATGAAGGTGAATTTTTTCAGGGGAAAAAAAACGGCTCTGGACATTACATCTTTCTCAGCAAGGGAAAGAACGAGATTGACAAAATCGTTGAGGCTGAGATTAAAGCAATATATAATGGTGATCTTAAAAAAACAGATGAAACTGCTATTAGGTCAATTGCTGAAAAGTATCAGATTGGGATCCATATCGTTGCTGGTGTGATTGAATATGGTTTTTTCCCATGTTACCATGGAGACTATGCGGCTGGCAAGCGTAGTGGATGTGGCATAATGAAGAACAAGGATGCCACCATTTATAAGGGTGAGTTTTTAGAAAATAAGCGCGAGGGCCAGGGCGTATTTTATTATCTTAATGGCGATATTTACTCAGGAAACTGGAAGGGTGGCCTAAAGCACGGCTACGGGACATATCATTTTGTTGGTGGCGGTGAATACCGAGGAGAGTGGGTGAACGGTGTATTTACTCAAGGGCAATGGATTCTTCAAGATGGAACATACTATGAAGGTAAATTTGACAAGCTAAACAGACCATTGGATACCAACGCATCAATGCACTACCCTCGTATAAAGTTGACACAATTTGGTACATTTAAGCGCGGTTTGTGGGCACCCACCAGCCAATTGCAGGTGTGTGATGAAGTTCCCATAGACGGTATCGCGTGGGTTGATTAATAAACTTCTGTTACCACGACTTCACATACACCCATCCACACAATAGTGTATGGGTGGCGAGTATTTCACCAACACTAAGGAATGTGCATCTTTCCAATTATTAGGTTTTACAATGTAAATAAAAAAGAATATGAGGCACACTGAGTTTATATTACCGTTTGTAGAATGTATAGCTTCTTAATGTAAAAAAAAAAGAGCCTGTCGCATAGCAAAGTTAAAGGTTTCCAGGCTGAATGATTTTAACGCCACGTTTTTTTTTGTTTCCACTATCTTTTAGCTTGTATTTTGGTGACCCTAGTTATAGACTAACTCGACTTAATTGTATCACGTGTCAGTAATGGTGTACACTCGGTGGAAATGTGATCGTATTCCTGTTTTCACTCTGAAGCTTTTTACCCAAGAGTATCCCGTTCAAACTTTTGTTGGGTTTTTATCGATGGTATTTCTTTGGAAACATGCCAATTATTGTTCAGAAGAAACAGAACGTAAGAAAGGCTGGTGGGCTGGTTATCCATACTGGCGTGATCCGATTGCCCGACGTAACGAAATTAAATATAAAAATATGATCAACAACAATAATGTGGATATAACAGATTCGAAATGGACTGGATGTTCTAGAGAGGATCTTGAGCGTCTTAAGAACATTGTGTAAAATAGGAGAGGTCGACCGCACAAAAGGTTATGCCGTTATTACATTGTTCCAATTTGTATAGATATGCGGAAGTAGTATAGTTCTAGTGTTTCTTTTTTCATCCTTTTGTGAATTTTAATATCAGATTATGAACAGGATGGGTTGAATCTACACACTTATCGTTTGAAACACAATTGCTTCGACACTTACCTTTATAAAAAATTTCTATCTTTGAATTTATTCGTCTTTTTGGGTTTGTTTACTTAGTCAAAAAATATATATATATGCTAGAATTTTTCAATGAATAATTTTGTGAGATATGACGTCTTTTAGGAGAGAAATTGACTGATAGTTCTTGTTTACCATGGATTTTTTTACTAAGGGTATCCATGATCCGTTTGAACATCTTTCAGAAGTTTTTCTGTTTCTGGTCCAGTTCTGCAGGCTACTTGTGGTGGGGGAATAGAACTGGGTTCAAGAATGAAGCGGATCTCAAATCTATTCCGTTTTTCATACTTAGTAATTCGTACACATTCCATTACTCTAACACCACCGACGTACACTTCCACGTGATGAACAGTTTTTTGGTAATAGGCGGCTTTTTCAAGTTACCTCACACAAAGGTACCCTGTCCTGAAAATTTAAACTTCAAAGGGAAGATTTTCCCTGAGCCTCACCGATGTCATATTCACACCCGCAGTTATTTGTATTATAAAGTCATGAGTGGTTCATTTGACGGCATCTCTGTGATGATAATGTTTTATACTGAATCGTCTATGCATCTTTTCTGTATCCTGAACTAAACATTTTTGTGTTTTCATTTATATCTAAAGGCTAGGACCTTTCGATATGTGCAATGATATGACTGTGTGTATGATGGATAAGAAAATTACTTCAAACGTACTTTATAACCCCACAATTGTAACCATTAAACGGGAAACGGATTCATTACCGGCAGGTTTATATCTATTGAATAGTCTGTAATGTAGATTTCTAAACGACATTCATTGATCCTATTCACAGGGTTACACGCTAGGAAACTGCTGCCTGAGAGTACTTCCTCCGAAGACCTCTATTTTTTTTAGATTCACTTTCGACGATGTTTAGCTGACCTGTATTGTGGAGGCCAAAGACGGATAAGTGTACTAGTCCAAAGGAATAGGGGTCATAACCTTTTGTCAAGATAATAGTCGTTTGAACTCACCATTTAAGCTTTTTCAGTGCATCTCTACAGACTTAATATTATACGAGCGACAGTTTATTAAAGACATTTTTTTCTAAATCTGCATTTACCTTTACCAACTGCATACTACGCTATAAGGCAAGGCGTGCATTACCCCTATCTACGCAACGTCATAATTTGCTATTATAAGTATTTTAACGGTTTTTATTCTCCAAAGCTTGGTAGGTGTCAACTTTTTGGTTATCCAGAATGTGGTTAAAGCAGCTCATGTATTTGACGATTCTACAGACCATATTTCCCACCCACTGCGTTTCTATTTGAATCCTTTTCTGCTCCTTTACTTTCAACACCAAGACGATTGACATGTAAACAACCCCATGACTGTGTTCTTTCTTACTTCTGGCTAAGTACTGGACATCTCGTCTATCCTCAACAATGCCACAACTATCCCTTGGAAGGTTTCACCTATATAGGTAAAGTCAATTTTTATTCTCACAAACTACAAGGATCGGTTTATAATGACCTCCCTCTACGTCTGTGAGCCACCTGAAGTATTGTAACGTTTCAATCCAATCTGAATCAAATAGTACATCCCGTGCCACATTGTTGTTCTTGTGAAGGTAAGGTGTGACACTTTTTTTTCACTATTTACGGTGCTCTAAATTAATTTGTCTTTTTGACCTTCGGTGTGCCGGGAAATTATTTGAGACCGCTTCAACGTTTTCGAACACCTTTTACGTTTATGTATGGAGCTGATAGGTCACACCCAGAATAAAATCGCAAGTGTAAATAATTTTTGACTTTTAAATACGTAAAATTTTTTTTTTATTGAATCTTTTCGCACTACATTTTTAGCGCCCACATCCCATAAGGACACAGTTCCAGCAGCAATGATATTAAATTAACAAACAAAAAATCACAAATACACTAGACATATTAGTTTTGCTTTTTGATTTTCTACAACCCTTTCTCTTTTCATTATTTGAATGCATATACATATTATCCTCTACTTTAATAAAGGCTTTATTTTTTAATTTCTGTATATTCCCATGCACCTGAGCTCTTCTCTATAATAAAAAATAGTAGATTTTGCTTTCTTTATATATATGTATATATATAAAGGTTTACCTATTAATCAATTTTATTGTTAAATTTTGTCAACAATTTATTTACTTTAGTGATTTGCCGTTTTGTATCCTACCATAGATTCTATGTTTTGTGGGATTTCTAAAACAGTTACGCTTGGATTGACGCGTCAAGAAAGGCGCCTTTTAACAATTGCAGAGGCTACGAAAGCCAAGAATGGTTTATCTCAGAGATATACTTACAAGGAAGCTACTCGCCAGCTGGCGCGCTTTGACTTGACGCGAAGGCGTCATCGATGTCGCCAACATTGTACTACTGAAATTGATTTTCAAAATCAACACCTTGTGTCTATGGCAGTGTCAAATAACTCAGCTATGCCAAAGCCATCTTGGAGATTTCAAGAAAATACTGGAACAGAAGCACCCATGCGCTCCTATAGCAGGTATGATCAGGGTAAACAGAACCATTCTAACTTCGCTACACGTATCTTTGGGACGAAGATATCAGCTACCTCTCGGCAAAACTATGATGATGTTGATCAGCGAGTTGGGATTAGTCACATCCAGATTAGATTTGACAAGTTAGTGCACGCTGCATTGTTGCAGTGTGGCCCACCCCTCCCAGCTGAGTTTGTGGCCGATAATGATGTTGTCACCGCATCTTCGGTTTCGCCAATGTCAGTTCGACGACATGGTGACGTGTTCACGACGAGCACCGATGGTTCTGATGAGTGCTTAAAATGTAGTATGGACTTTGGTACGAACAGTGCTAATCATGTGATGTATGATGAGGTTGGGCTCAAGCCCCATGAATTAATGCGTATTGTCCGGCTTTACCAGCCATCTTTTAGCATTCAAGAAGACTGCGACTACGTTCCCTTTTCTATGCTTGTTAAGAACTGCCCATACTTTCGGGCCTTTGGAGGCAAGATACACTACATGCGGTATTTACAAAGGAGGTGTGACAACAGTTCCGCGAGTTTAGACGATAGGGCAGTAGAAAATAACAATAACCCTTTATTGGTTTCTATTGGCAAGTACAAAATGCGTGAAGTACCATCACAGGATGGTGTACGGCAGGGTCCGAAGCCTTGGTTGTATCCATACGAATTTAAATGAGGTGAGATGGGTGTTACCCACTTTTTGCCTCATTTTTGCTTCCTTAATGGCAACTATTTCAGGTATATATTATTAAAGCAAATAGTCAAGGGGAATATTTGATGGATCATTGGATTATTATGCTACACCCAAGTAACTTTTTTATCTTTTAGCTTAAATGAGGCACACAAAAGGAGACTACTTCCATTTTTGAATTTTCTTTTTTTTTTCGAGATTCTAATAAAAGCGCCCTATTGGTTATTTTAACTTCAGTACTTCCATATTTCACAGCAGATTTATTAGAACCTAACAAATAAAATATAGATAATTTTTATAAACCTATTGTAGGTGTTCCAAAAATGCCGACAACTTTTGGGCGCCACAGTAATTCACAGCCTGCTTTGTCCGGAGCGACACTGTCTAACTATTGGGAAGCCTTCAGGCGCAAGGTGAGCACTACTATCAGAACTACACCCCCCGAAAATGTACAACTTTTGGAAGTACCACCAGAGCAATCCTGGTCTGATTCGGTCAATGAAATGGTGCACCTCACTTATTCACAGCGAGTTGCTGGGTTTTTAATGACACTTGCAATGGGAATTCTATGTATTGTATTATCGATATCAATGGCCGCAACAGTGGTTGTATCACCACGGAAGTTTATTTTTTTTCTAACCCTTGGTAACTTTCTTTGCTTCTCTGCATCGATCTTTTTGGTTGGCTTCACTTACCAGATCAAGCACATGTTTGAGTCTAAACGAGCGATGGCAGCTTCTTTCTACTTGTTTTCTGTGGTTTGTACACTTTTTTGCGCCGTACGGCTTCGCAGTAGTATAGGGTGCATTATTTTTGGTGGGGTACAATTGGCTTCTCTAATGTGGTACGTTCTGAGTTTTATCCCGTTTGCCCGTAATTTTCTCAGTTTTATTTGGCTATCGGTTTTGTACCCCATTATAAGGGTTTTCCAAAGTACAGTGAGCAAATGTTTAAGTCGATTTTAATTCGCCAACGTTAGCCAAAAAAATTCTTTATTTCACTTTTCCCGAGTCAATGATCACTTTTTCAAAAAAATAATAATAAACAATCGTCTTCAATAAGGATACTTGCCAAATTTAGGCTTGATTTTCTTAACGGTGTTCTAACTCTTCTCTCTTTGGCTTTATTTTCTCTTTAATTTTAGGGATGCAAAAAAAATAATTCACCTTCTACCTATATTTTACCTCTTAATAATAAAGAAAATAGTGCACCTAGTTATTATCAACTTGCTAAATATTGCCCGCTTTTTAACATGTTGTACCAGTTGCCGTCCTTTCTATCTTTCACAAAGGGTAATTTAGGTACAAAGGAGTGGCGGCTTTTTTTAAAGTGTATGAATAATGGACATTTCGTCTCCGCATGGCACGATATTCCTCGTTGCCCTGTTTATTGTGGTAATGGAAATAAGGACCCTAAAAGTGATCTAATATTCACTTATGTGAATGAAATACCTCGTGGAAGCCGTGCGAAGATGGAGCTGATTAAGGAGGAAACTTACAACCCTATTTCACAAGATAGATTCAATAAAATGGAAGGACAGCCTCTAAGATTTTTCGCTTATGGCAACATACCCTTTAATTACGGCTTCATACCACAAACATGGGAAAATCCAGATAGTTTAGATAAGGAAACCAAGTGCTATGGTGACGGTGATCCCATTGATGTGGTGCAGCTAGGGCCGACGCCCGCACCCATTGGGGACTTCATGCCAGTGCGCGTCCTGGGAGTATTGGGCCTCATCGACGAAAATCAAACTGACTGGAAGATTATTGCAGAACCTATAGTAATGGGTAAAGTAGTTTATGGTAGTCTGGAGCGTGTACCGATGGAAGTTCAGCGACTGATCGTTGATTGGTTTAGAAATTACAAAATATCAGAAGGAAAACCCCAGAACGAGTTTGTATTTGACGGTGAAATACGTGGTATGGAGACGGCACTGCAGATCCTTTCGAACACTGGAGCAGAATATGATAAGCTATTCGATGCAAAGATCGCTTCCTACGGTTATTGGTTATCTCAATAGACACCCCTTTTTTCTGTCTTTTCTTTTCCAAACGACGTTTTCTTTTTCGTACAGTATTTATCCTTTTCACGTATTTATCAATTCTATTGTTATATAGATCCATATTGGATATAATTAAAACTCTACTGAACCTGCTTTTATTTAAATTAAATAATTTGAATGCGTTAATGTTTTCAAAAAATATACTTTTCCGATGAAATGATAGATTTCGTCAATGGGACAGCATGCAATTATTTACGTGTGTTTAGATTTATTCATGACGTTCTTCCACATAAAATGCAGATTTTTTCCTTTATATTTATAGAGTTGAAGGATAACTAAGGAACCTGCAGCTTCACAGAGGGTGTCACACCACTCTGCAGTATTCACATTAAAGGCTTTTGCATTCCCAAGGGAAATAATAATAATAAGGGCAGCAGTAATGCCAAAACGACCTAGAAACATGCCAGGTGCCTTGGATACCACTGAGGCTGATTCAAACACGCCAAAATCGATCATCATCTACCGCGGTGATGTCAGCCCTGAGGTGCGTGCCCTTATGCATGAGTGGCGAAACGTATTTTTACCATGGAGTAGTAAAAAGCTCCGTGGAAAAAACAAAACACTAAAGGATTTCCTTGCAATTGCCTCGACATTTGGAGTCTCTCATCTGCAGTTATTTACATCTCCATCACATGGTACCCTGCTACGTATCATGCGCTTTTTCAACGGTCCTACTCTTTCATTTCGAGTGTTGAGTTTTGCTCTTCGTTCTGACATTGTAAAGCAACAGCGTCGCGTGGTTTCACTGCAGCGTAGCGTTTGGGAGGTTCCTCCGATTGTTGTCCTCAATAATTTTTCGCATCCTGAAGCTTTGAAACGGCAGGAGGTTCCATTGCTTGAGGCCACCTTCAAGGCCCTTTTTCCAACGGTAAACATTCAGACGATTCAGAATTCTGAGATTCAGCGTATTTGTCTTTTTCATTATGACCATGTGGAGCATGTCATCGAGGTGCGTCATTACTATGTGAACTCCAAAACAACGGGCGTGACACGAACAGTGAAGAAACTGCTGGAGAACCGGCGGCCGACGAAGTTGGGCACCCTAAGTAGCGTTGACGAGATTTTGGAACGTGAGGACGCTTGGTCAGACACAGATGGCGAAGGCGAAGAAGTTTCTTTGGCTCAACCTTTTCGTCAGCATCGCGAACAGTGTCGTATCAAGCTTCAGGAGATAGGTCCACGAATGACGCTGGTGGTGATTAAGGTAGAAAATGGATTTGCCTCAGGGGAAGTCATATATCATCGTTTGGTGAAAAAGGCGCCTCATGAGGTTCAAGAAAATGCGCGAAAAGTTCACACTAGAAAAGCTGAAAAATCTAAACGACGGGCTGAGCAGGACGCGAATGTGGAACGAAAGAAGCATCTGAAAGAAGGTAAGATAGCACGCAAGAAAGAGCGTCGTGAACAGGCCTTAAGAGATCAAGAGGAGAATCCATTTGAGGTTGCAGGAGGAGAGGATGGTTATACAGGTGATACCGACTAGCAAAATGCTATTTTCAACTCTGTGTGTGGGAGCAATAATATTGATAATAATACTTTAGCATTATGAACTTCCTGTTTTAATTGCGCGTTTAAATAAAATATTTAGAAAATATTTTCCATTCCTTGCCAGTTTTTTTAAAAGAGTTTGCCAATTTTTCATTGACAGAAAATGTTTATCTTCGCAGAACCTTTAAATCATTTTTATTCTTCCTCTGTGCTTTTTTCACGTTGAAATGTGTTTTATGCTTAACTAAATTAGTTAGAATTTATATTATTAATATGTTAACAAGAAATTTAATTTTAGTTACGTATCTCATACAACGTGAAGTTTAAAAATTCTAAGTTTCTCAATTAAACATAAGGGCCATAATTTTTATTCCCTAGAGACAAGTGTGCCGCAGTGTGTGTCACGAAAGGAATCTCTCTCTTCCTTTTCTGCTCCATACATATACATACACACTCACACACACACACATAAAGGAAGGCAGATAAACGGGAAGGAAACTACATAGTACACTTATTATCGCTCTCATTATTTTTTTCCTTCGCACACGTAAGTGTTACTATCACAATTGTTTGCTACACTGCCATCTGAGGAGGCAGATAGATAGTTAAAAAATTGAAACCAGTAATTATATTTACCACTTACAGTAGATTGCTTTATGTTTTATGTGTTCATTAGCATTTTCCGGTGGATTTGGCAGGAAATGTTACTTCCTAATGTCATTCTAGGAATGGCAGCTCTTGTAACGGATGGGGTAGAGGCATGGCGAGAGATGGGACAGACTCTTTACGTCCTATTTTTTTTCTTTAGAGGTAAGAGCCATCGAAAGTTTCCTCTTTCCAAAAACTTTCTTGCCGCCCGAAGGGAGAAGCCTCTTGAGAAGCGGTGCCGCACCCTGAAAGCTACTAATAATATAGGTAAAGGATTTCTCGCAGGAAGTGATACTTCAGGCATTGCATTTGACAAGACGGATTTCTTAACAACCGAAGATGAGACATATAGTTCATGTACTAGCAATGCCAGAAACACAAATATATGCAATAGAACTGAAGCTATGTGCGAATCTGTGGACACCAACAACGATAGCTCTGAAGCAAATGCACTCCAAGAAGTGCAATTACTTATGTCGAATGGTGTCAAACGTAAACCAAAGCCTATGGAAGCTGCAAGTAAAAACGTCAGTCAGAGTAATGCATGCAAAGACGGTAACTCGGCTATAACAATCCAACGACGTGTTCTTCTTGGTAGAAAGGGTGAGCATCAAATGTGGCTGGGGGAAGTTTTGGGATCTATTCTTGTCCCTTTTGACTTTCCATTGAATTACTCCAAAACTCTACACACTCTTGTTAGTTGTGTTATTGGACCTATCCAGCAGCCTAGCGTCTCTACGCTTCCAACGCGCCACCCTACACCACAATGGCCACCACACTATGTGAGGAATAACAATGCCGCAAACACCTCTATTAGCAAAGTCTGTGTGATACCACCAGTGCCCTCAACTGAATATAGCGATCGCCGTTTGGAGATGCAAGGTGACACTAACTCTAGTGCTGCGGATGGTTTTACTTCATCGTCGGCATGGTGTCCTCAGCAGCCGTTTAGGCAGGCATCCAATGTAGTTTACCGCCGTGAGAGTTCCCGAAAGCTGGACTTTCGTCCTAGCCGAGCATTTCCAACTCACCCTATCGCCTCCATCACTGCTCACCACGTTCTTTCTTATCAGGCCACAAGGCAAAAAGTGTTGGTGATGGATCTTGATGAGACTCTATGCTATGTATCGACCTCGACAGCTAACATGATTGGCCCACCTACATTTTCCGAGGTCATCCCAACTGCTTCCGGCGCAGAGCTTTTTCATGTCTGGGTGCGACCTTACACTCGGATCTTCTTGACCACAATGGCCAAGTTATTTAATATTGTACTCTTTACGTCAGCATCGAAGCCGTACGCGGACACTATCCTGAGCCGAATAGACCCAGATCATATCGTGAAAGGACGTTACTATCGCCAGGATTGTCGCATTTTTCCACGTGGTGCGCTGGCTAAGACTTTATGTGGACGGCAGCGTGCAGGCACAGCGACATGCAGTGCGTTCGGTAGAAATACTTCTGAAAATAATACACACAACTCTTGCACCATCGGGGACAGGATTTTTATTCCCTCTGCAGCTACGGGCTTTCTTGGCGCGACCTCCTGCGCTGACAAGGATGACATAAATCAAAGCTTCAGGCCAAGCTTCAATGAGAATACCAAAGTTCTCATCAAAGACCTCCGAGTGTTGAAAGTGCCTTCAGAACTATTGGTGCTGATTGACAATTCTGAGGAGTGTACATTACTAAATCGTGACAATGCTCTTATTATTATGCCGTATATTCCTTCCATGGACCTCCAGAAGGCTTCTCGTAAGGTGAATAGCGAGTGCAACAGTAGTAGTGATACCTCTAGTGGTATTGGAGCGGGAATCGGAATTCTGGGATGCGGTGATCCGGAGGAAGACGAAGTGCTTCTCAGTCTCATTCCATTTCTGGAGGCACTGCTTGTGGTGCCAGATGTACGATCAGTTCTTCGTCATGGAAAGGTGTTCTGAAAGTGGATGTGAGGGACAAGAAATTATTAATAAAAAACGAATGCTGAGCTCATTCGATTGTTTATAAATCATGTCTATTATGTTTTCTGAGAGAATTTACTTCATGGACTAAGACTGGTAAACTTTTATATTTGCTTGTTTAAGCAAATAAATGCTGTTTTTCATCTCGTTATATCTAGTAGCGAAATCAATGTTTTCAAGAAGACGGATTTCTGTTTCAAGTACGTTAACTTCATTTTCAGCTAAAAGAGTTTTTTTTTTAAACTTTTGTATACACACTTATTCTCCACATTTTATTTTAATTTGAAGAGCTCAGAAAACGTTTCGCTGAGTTAATATCGAAAAGATCCTGACAAGGTATTAAATAAGTAGCTGTGTTCTTATTAAGCTTTTTTTAGGAAATTTATTTGCCTTTTCTATTAAATTCTTTCCCCTGTGACGTTAGTTTAAGAAAATTTGGATGAAACACATCAGCACTCGCAACCATGTCTCCTTCTTTCCTGCCACCAAAAGACCATTAAATACTCACAGACAGTTCTTGCGCCGAGGTCTTTGCTATAGTTCATTGTGCTTTTCTTCCCATAGCCACGGGCGTTTGTGTTCTCTTGGAATTTCTCAGAGATATTGTCTCTTTCAAACGCGACTTGCGTTTCGTGGAAGTAAAAATCTTAAAGTTACTCCAGCACCAATATCAGATGCTACTGCTGTACCATCTAAATTTTCCTCTTCAGTACCATCAGCCACTTCTTTTCTATTGTCATCTGAGAAAAACATCAATGAAGTCTCTGAAGAACAAACGAAGACTAGTAGGACCAATTCTAAGATTGAGTCACGATCCAAAAATCAAGCACCTAAAAGGCCGCGCCAACAGAATAAACGTAAGGAGACACCGGCAGTCGCTTGCTTACCTACAAAAATAGAGGTCGATGCTGAGGCTACCGTAAGTGAGTGTCAATTCCTTATGGATATCAATGCCTCTTTTTATCCTATGTATCTACCATACAATAAAGATACTATTGGCGTCGCTGCGTTGGCTAGGAATTCCAACTCTTGTATTGACACCTTTGCTCACACTTCATCTTCAACTGCTAGCAAAACTTCCTTGGAAGGCCCCACAGCATTTTTAGCAGAAATTTTGAAAGCCCCTCATAAATATCCACAGATGCATGTGCTTTTTCACATGTCTCACCATCAGTACAGTTCAACACCACGCCGTGGTCGAATTGGCATTCTCCCCGTAGTAGAGGTAAAGCTCACTAACTTGTCTAATATTCTTTGTGGTGTTGACAGCGATTATACTTTTTCGGTATTTCTTTCCTTTCTACGCATGTATCGACGACTATCAAGTCAGTCAATGTGGATGACGGCGTTTTATCATCGGCTTTTAGAAGAGTTTCTATTCGAGGCATCGCAAGTCTGGTCTAAAATCTTTACCGATGAGCTGAAAGTCCAAGGTAAACATCATATTGTACGTCAGTGTGCGTGGGTGATGCTGGAGCTGTACTGCATCCAACTAGACCTCACAAAGCGCTCTCAGATAAGGATCCTCAACAGTAAAAATAGTTCCAGGTCCGCTTCGGCTATGGATAAAGCTATTGTAAAGACGTCTCTGTCAAAAAAGAATTCACAGGAAGTACTAGCCCCTGTTAAGACTGTACAGGAAGTAGAAATGCAAACGGTTAAGTCTGACTTGAAGGTTGATGCCATACAATATTTTCTAGAGGGTGTGGTGCAGGTGATTCTTGATAAGATCGTAGGGGTCTCAATTGATATCGACCCTTTATTTGCATCTAACAGTATTTTAGAGTTATCCTTTCGCTACTACTTTGCTTTACTGGCTGTTGAGCTTAGAAAAGGAGTCTTCTGTGGGCATTGGACCGAAGGGTCAAAAAATATTATGAAGCCTAAGGCTAATGAAGGCAAGGACAATGCTCTTGTCTTAGGAAAGTGGAATAAAATAGCAGAAGAAAGACGCAATGAAATAAAAAATAAATTTTCGAATTACGTTCGGGTTGATCCAGCAGACACTGGCTCCGTTTCGATAGATACTTTCAATTCGTATCTAGAAGATGCTTTTATGGCCTTGCATATCACTAAAACTTTTACTCTTATAGTACCGCATGATTTTCAACAGTATGTGCAAATGCAAGTTACACGCATCCTTCATCTGTCCTGTCGTGCAGTGCGGTTTCGGCCAGATATTTTTCTATTCCTGTGCTCGGAAACTTTTGCCTACCAACTTGACCAGTTGAAGGAGTGGCCTGGAAGCCCTTATTCCCAAATGTGTACAGACATTTTCGCAGCAGCAGCTGTTTTTTTGAAATTGCGCGAAGGGTCTCTCTTAACTTTGTTGGATAAAAAGGAGCAAGCAAGACGGGCAGCTCTCCGAGCCTCAAACCCTGGGCTTTCAGATGACCAACTCCCACCCCGACCGCTTCTGCACGGCTCTGCTGCGCAGCTTTTCTACGCTATGCTATGTGTAGGCTACGCCCCAGAGGTAGTTCTTCAAAATGCGGTGTATCTTTCCATGGATTCTATCGAGTTTGTTAGTATAGCTGCCGCAACAGCACTCTTTTCGAGATCTTTCGCCACGAAACCACTGCCGGTTAGCATAAGAACTACTCTTATGGATGCGGCTAATGCATTCATAGGAATATGCATCAAAAGCACCAGGCGACTGGCGATTTTGCACACCGAGACGGCGATGAAAACCGCAATAGGACAAATAAGCCTTTCTACTAGGCTTGAGCATCTTAATATGCAGGATTCCAGAACCAACCACACATGCTTATGTGTGTCTACATCAAAATTTGACAACTCGGGAAGGACCAATATTAATTTCGAAAAATCAAAGTCAAGAAAGGGGACAACTATAATCGGTGATGCAAATCAGCCACAGATTACTGAAGTTCTGACGCAAACTGAGATGACTCAACTAGTGGACAAGACTTTGTATATAGTTCTCAGCGTTGCTGTAGAATTCCTCACGCGTGGTGATGAGACTATATCGAGGAATATGATTCTCAATTTCTTTCCTATTTTAGAAAGAGAAGGTTCTACAGTGTACTTGGTAGAGGCACTAGAGGTGCTCACAATGAAGATTAACAAGCGTCTTGCTCATGTTGGGGCAATGGAGATTCGAACCGACCACATTAAAGATGAAAACTCCTGTATTTACCGCAATAGTCAGGAACGTGTCACGACATTGTCCATGGAACAGGGTTTATCCGAGGTAGTTAGTCTCTTCCAACAGCGGGTCTCTGCTACCATCTTTCACCGACTTACTGGGAACTCAAATAAGAACGCGTACCCCCCGTTGCGTTCTCTTAATTCAGAATCGACAACTTCCCAAACATTTTCATTACCTTCAGATCCACTTCCTGGTGGAACAAATAAGGGTAGTATTAAGAATGAAACCATTACTACCGCATCCAATGAAGTGATAGCAGGTCCTGTTTTATCCGTCGTTGCTATTCTGGAGCTTATTTTTCGCTTCACGGTGTGTGCCGTGATCTGCGGTATGGATATGAACACCGTTAAACAACTCACTTCTGTTCATACAATGCTTCTGAAGGCTAAGGATAGTGGTGGAGTATTCAGCTCTGGTTCTGGCAAAAAAGCACCAACGGTTGCCAACACAACATCTGATGCTTTCCTTTGTCAAGACCAACCGACAGATGGTATTATTTGTACTGCTTTTCAGGTAGTGGAGCAGCTTGATCAACTCATGACTTGTGTAACTGAGAAGCAATTTCTCATCACACGACATCCACAATCTGCCCACACGCGCACGACCAATATCGCCCTAAACCATATTGTTGGCGTAAACCTCAAATCCATTCCCGTCATGGGAACTTCTTTTTACATTCCAAGGAATTCCCCCAATCAGAGTATATCATCTCTGTCGAAAAGACAGCAGCGCTTTGCGCTGTCAGTCATTCATTTGCTTTTTCGCCTTTCCACGAATTATCCCGTTGAGGCAGAGCCGATGGCACTCAGAGTCTTTCGTACCGATGTACTTGACCCTGTTGTTGCGCAGGTACTTCATGAGGGCGTTTCCAACCCATCATCTAATGTGGAGCACGACCATGGTAGTGAACTTACCCTTACAATTCTCACTGAAATTGCCGTTGTAATGTGTGTACCACACACCATCCATCTTGTTTCACGAGATCTTTATACCAGACTTTCTAGCATGGTTGTAAAAATAATGAAAAATAGCCGGCGCAATGACTCCCGCAGCTTCGTAACAGGTTTAATTGTCCAGAGACTTCTCTGTGCTTCTAGTACGGTTTGCCTTCGAGGAGACGCTCAGTTCACAACGTGTTTTATTGAAATACTTCAAGCTACAGAATCACATCTCACATTGCGGCAAACTGTACATGTTCTAGATGAAATTCTTGCGTTCCAGGTTCCCACCGACTCAGCTCCAGTTAGCAGGATGCTGCAACGCCTCGTACAGGCCCTGTCGGAGATGCATCCAAAAAACGGACGGCCGATGCTGTCGCTTCAAGATTGCATTGCTACCCTGCGTACTTTAGCTCGGTATGACGGTATAATCTCCGCCGATACATCAGCTACTGAGCCACTCTCAAGCAGAGATAGAAAAAACGGCAGCAACAGTAATAATATTGGCAGTAAAAACTCAGGCCTGAAACTCATGGTGCCTTATGGGTTGACCTTTGAACGACTTTGTCGCCCCGAAAATACTCAACGACAACGTATCACCTTGTCTGAATATGGGGAGTTGGTTCACATCGCTGCTGTCCTCAGCCGTCGCACCGATGCAATTGAAACCTGTGATCCGGTAGAAAAAGAGTTGATATTAAAATTGCCCCGTCTATTTTCAGTGCCTGTGCTTCAATCTCCGCAGGCTGGTATGGAGCATGACACCCCAGCGGTGATCAGAGGCTACGCTGAGGTTACAAACGACGAGGCTGTGCGTGCGCAAGTTCTGCGTGCTTTTATCTCGCGTACTATTTACGCCTGCCCTGCGCTATCTCCTGAGGAAGTTGTACAATGTGTTGAGGGGTACTGTGCCGCTGGGATTTACCACGAATATCTTTTCAGCGTCTTGCTTGGGCGTGTTGCGGATATTACACAGCGCTTCTCGTTGGATTTGTCTTTGCGCCTGCTTCGCTGTGGCATCCGTTCGGGTCATCCTCTTGTGAAGACGGCATGCGTGACGGCCGCAAAACCTGTTTTTATGGTGCATGTGCGACATATCTTACAAAGCGATCCGAGTTTCATTACCTCAGTTGGATTGACTTCCACCACCATTCTGCGGTGTCTCCGAGACTGCTTCCCACGGGAGCCCATCAGCGCTGCGGTTCTCGAGAATATTGCGGCACACAAGCAGGGAATGAGCAGTATTGTGGTGATCAAGGCCGCATTAGAGCTGATAGCGGTTAGAGGGTCGCAGGACTATAATACGCTACGTACACTGGCTGACTACACCACTTCCGAGCTTATCTGCGTTAGTAACTCACATGATCTCTCAGATTTAGTGTTCCTTCTTGTAGACTGTGGTGTACGCTCCGGTGCGCTTCTAACGAGTACCACCACACGGTTCAGTGAGCTTCGTCGAGAAGCAGATGGCTACACTATAGCACGTATAATGGAGGCTCTTCAACGTGGCTGTATTGATGTCGGCAATACACTCTTTTTGCAGCTTGTTGATCGCATCCGAGAGCTTCTCGATGTATTTCTCTATTCCGCTAATGATTTACGCTCTAAGAAAAAAGACAGTGTGAGGGTGATAAGCGTCCACCACGAAGATATGATGAGACCTTTTACTGTGTCACAAGTCTCTATTATACTGAACCAATTATATGCTGGTGAAAAGCATCATTTACCGACCGTTATGCCTGTAGTTGACGCACTACTCATATATCTTTCACGTTTATGGAATGATGACAAGATTTCTGCAATTGATGGGGACTACAGCACCTCTGGGCTAGCAGCCAGGGAGGTCGAAACAATTCTTCGTAGTTGTGTGGAGCAAGCAAGTCACCCTGAAGCGCATCGTGACGTTTTGCGTGCATGTGCTGATCAGTTAAATCGCCTTCTCGATGTTTCGCAGCATCAGCACCCTTCTCATGATCTTTCTACGCGAGAGGGGGATGTTGTTAATGATGAAGCGCAAGGAACTGCTGACGCTTCAGTTGGCGATGTTCTTTTTAATGATTATGTCAGCAACACCGCACTTCGTTCGGTTGACTGCACATCACTAAACAATGCAACTGGTGCCCTCTGGCGCGGCGATCTGTTGATGCTTGTTAACCTTGCAAGTTTTCTCACTCGTGGTGGTGAAGTTGAACATCCAGTACTCTGTCGTATTTTTACGCTAGTTTTTGATAAGCGGGCAATTTTATTAAAGCGTCACTTGTTATTCGAAACAGTGAAGCAAACTATGAAAGCTGCAGGTGAAGAAATACATCCTGCGCTGCATAGTTTTGTTCTTAAGGGTAAGCTTCTGTAGAGAATACAGATTTAAATAGGTGGTTTAATTGGACTCTTTCTCCCTTTCACTGGCGCCTTGTAAATTTCCTTAAAGATTTTTAAATAAAATTTAACAAGGATGTCTATTAGAGCTCTAATGAGGATACACAATGTATGGGAAGCATGTTAATTCACACCATTTACCATCATGAAGGTGAATTTATTAATGCATTATAAAGATGAGATCCTTATTATCTTTTATTCCGACTGTCTTATTTTTTTACTGAAGAAATTTAACCTTAACAAAGGTTTACATAGTTTTAGGAATCAAAACCTAAGCTTTAAAACATCTTAAACGGGTTATTAACACTATATATCCTCTGAGGAGTCCACAACCATTTTCCACTCCTTTTTTACTTTCATCTGAAACACCGGTTTCGGTGTATTTATAACTTTTCTCTATTTATTTTGCTATTGTTTAGGGAAGGAAGGATATTTCGGTAACGGAGATGTGTTTACCAGCCACGGTGGAGAGTAACTTCATTTCAATATTTGCCCTTGAACTGCGCCGTCAGGGGGTTGCTCAACCATCAGATTTTGAAAAGCAAGTTAAAGAACATTTGGTGATAGTTGAAACTGCTGCTGAATTTCCAGGTATGATTATAGAAAGCATTACAGCAGATAAAAAAAATATTGTGACAAATAAAGAGGACCGATGCACTTCCTCTTATATTTCTATTGAAAAGACAGGCATTTCTCACACCAAGGGAGAGGTGGAACAACATAATGATGACTACCTGAACAGCGATGATGCCGGCGCAAAACAGAAGTTTGATGAGGATATACGTTGGACTTTTGAACTTGATCTTAGTGGTAAATGCTTAGGTAATAAAATTATTATTGCTTTATGTGAAACCTTACTCAAGCTTAAATCATTTAATGAGTCCAGTATCATCCGATGGCATATTTTATTGAAGCAGAATGAATTAACGGACCAATGTGTAAGGCATTTAGGGTTTATCATCCTTTTCTGCCCAAGTTTAGCGTTGTTGGTCATGACAGAAAACAACTTTACTAATGAGGGCATCGCGGAGTTGCGTAGGGCTGTTCACGAAACTGAGCATGCATGTGAGGTGCACTATGATGAAAACGAAATCCGAAGTCAAGCCTCTCTCAACTCAAGGAGATTCAATTTTCAGTCGCATGAACCTTCCAAAAGCAATGCGATTGATGTTTCCTTATCAATTAGAAAGAATTGTGATGTGCTTTCGTCTAACCAGCTGAACTCGGAATCCAAGAACTTGTTCGCCATTTCACTAGAGCAAGAAATGCCCCACCAGTCCTCCCACCTACCCTTTCCAATGGTGAACAGCTACTCTTTATCCAGAACTACCCCTGTGATCTCGCCTACCACTTGTACTGCTGCATACGCTATCGGCAATTCCGAGGCCTTAAGACGCCGCCGCGAGGAACTGTTCGGAAAGGCTGAGCAGATAAAATCGTGTGCAATGCATGATGAAGACAAAAATGCCACCAACAGCAATATCGACGATGCCAGCAATGCTCAAAAAGACCTTTTACCTATCCAAGCTTCGTCTAATTTCATTCCACAGAGGTTCATTGATATGATACAAGACTCCCATCTTTTAGAAGAGACACCAGATGTGTCGCCGCTACGCAGGGAAAGCGAAACTTCAGCGATATTCTGGAGGTCAACCCATTCCAGCGAATCAGCTTCTTTGCCGCCCCCTTCATCAGGAACTCCGCCGCACGCGGATTGCAAAAGTGTTTCTATAAAATTTCGGCAAGATGAGACTACTGAAGGTGGAGAATACATTAAACAGCATCAGTATCAGCCGGACGATAGACCCAGCCTCAGTTTTCATGAGCCCTTTTTTGAAAACGAAGAGTTGGAGTTTACAACCAATTTGAACCCTATCGTAGGCAGCGTTCTTGACCTTTCGCGTGCTGTTAACAATGAAACTTGTGCCTTGTGCGAATCTCATAGTCATGGAGGAGTGCAATCAGTTTGGGACATCATCGAATCTCATAAAGAATCTGGCCAGCAGTTGCACACTTTGCAAGAGGCAGATCATGGGGCTTCAGTGAAGCTGCCTTCTTTTGTTGTTGGTTGCAATAATTACTCTGCTATCACAGTTTTAAATATTAGTGGCAACTATCTCAAGAGGCTGCAGACTCTCCCGGCTACCCTTCTTCAGTTGGACATTAGCAACAATGATTTGTCACAGCTTAACGGCTTGAATCCTTGTACAATGTTAACTGTCCTCAATGCACGACGTAATAGAATTGATAAAATCACCGGACTTGAGCGTAATACGTGCCTTGTTCGTGTTTTTCTTGGTCGAAATCGCATTAAGGCTGTGGAAGGTCTTGCGCACTTGCTTATTTTAGAAACTCTCGACCTCTCTTACAATCAGTTGCGAACCCACTCTGCCGTACGGGCTCTATCGCTTTGCTCTTCTCTTATGCATCTCCTCCTTAAGGGAAACCCTATTCTGGAGAACACAACACAGAGCAAAGATTGCTATCCAATGATACGCAATCTCTGCCCTTCTCTACTGATGATTGACAGTAAAAAACTTAGTCAGTCACGTTTTTCTGAAAAACTTGAGCTGCAGGAGAGTCATATGCGGCAGCCGATGTTGATCGACTCGACACACCAGCCGAGAATTTCTTTCAATGTTGAGAATGGTGTGCGATCCGTCCCGGTGCCTTACAGCGGGGTTGGCAAGATGGGATCATATAGAGATCGCTCTCTACATACATCTTATCATATAACTTCCAAAGGAAGTGACTCATCCGCTTGTGGGACAAGTAAGGATGAGGAAGCATCTAAAAGTGCAGTGAATCTTCTTTACTTTCTTACACACGGCGCTAAGCCACGAAAGGGGTACAGCGACACTGCCCGTGCAGCGAATACGGTACGGCGTTCGACACAGCGCGGGGAGGCGTTTCGTGAAGCTGAACAGCAGAAAATGTTACTGCAACAGTGTGACAAGAAGAGTTCTTTGCGAGAGGAGATGATGAAGTTCCTCTCGGGAAAATCTAAGAAGTACCTGGAGACCACAATCGTGGAGCGCATAACACAACTCCAACAACAGCGACAGCGGGGCGAGAGCAAAGAAATGCACAACTTGCCTGATACTTTCAGTATAAGGGCAGGCAGTACTGGTGGCGTTAGCAAGAAGCCAGCCTCTTCTATACAGCCCCATGATGTAATTCGAGGTAGCTCCATCGTGAAATCCCGGCACCACACCGCGATATCTACTAATTCCAATATTACAGACATCGACATATTGAAGCCCTATGAGCCAAACCGTTTATCCCCGCCTAGATACCCTTTGCGAGCCATGGTAGCTCCAGGTTTAATACACAAGAAGTCTGTATCGCGTCATACTGTCTTGCTATCACCCGAAGTCGACAACGTGACCTCCGATATTGTCCAAATTAGCGAGAAGCCTAAGGGTGCTAGCTTTATTTATGAAAATCCATGCATGACCTCTGAGCCTTTCCCCTTGGTATCGCTGAAGCCTCTTTCCTACACCCAACTATATGCATTCAAAAGGAATTTGCAGCATGGGGATACTTTCCCGATTGAAACCGAGGCGAAGGAGGCTCAGGATGGGTGCCCTTTTATTTCCGAGACTTCCGTTGTAAATGAGACTCTAAAGGTCAGGCCATTCGATATCCTGAGTGGGGTGAAACAGACTGTATCGGAATGTAGCTTTCCATCAAAGTTGAACAATGAGAATCCTCCCTCTTTCAAGTGCGAGCAATTGAGTGTACGGTCTGAAAACCAGGAAGTATATCGCATCTCGACTCCTGTATCAGCAAAGCGCTTCTCGTCCTCATCGTCAAAGGGGATGTCTGGAGATCCTACCAGGAAGCCTAGACCTTATCGTTCAGATGACGCATTGGGTGACTGCCGATGTCTAAAGGTTCCGTATGGAGTTCAAAGGAAGGTTCCCACAGTTTCATACTGTATTGACCGCTCTATTGAAACACAGGACACACCCGGAGGGAATTTTCATCCTACAATGTCGACGCAGTCTCTTTACAGAGATGCACCACTGCACACTCACATATTGACATGGAAAAGACAGCTAGCGAAGGATGTTCTAGCTGTGCAGGCAGCTCTTAAATCAATCATGGCGCTTCTTCAGACACAATGGAGTAATTTAGCGGGTTTCTCTGAAAGAAACGAAATGATACGATTAACGTACCTACAGGAACGCCAAAAGTGTGTGGGGATAATTCAAAGAAGTGGAATGCTAAGCGACACGGAGATCCCTAAGAATATTGTCCAGCACTATGGTTTTGAGAAGGCCGAACTGGAGGGGTTAATAACGTGTCGACGGAAAGCGAAGTGGGAAAACAAGGCTTCTCGTGATCGTATGTCTGTACTGCAACAGGTACAAATGCTTGGAGATGCCAAAACGTGCTTGCGGTATTTGATCCTTCTCATGGATAGCGATGATGATTCTCTTTTACAGGATTATGTTGATCAGATTAAGGAGACTTTTGAAACTAACTAGTACCGATATCTTTTTAAGCATTTTTTTTCCATACTCCATTCTTATTTATTTCTCCTTTGTTTTTGTTATTACCAATAGAATTATTACTATATTTACTATAGAATCACAATTATTTTTTATCTTACTTTTGACTTCTGTAGAGATGGCACTTCTTTTTTTCATTTTATACCTTCTGACATGATAAAGTCCATAGACTTCTATAGACCCTTTTATTGATTGCTCCATGCTATACGTCATTGCTTAATTGCGGTATTTGCTAGATGCAACCCATAAATATTAATATTTGTTATTTATGTTTTTTTTTTGAAAGTTCAATATAAAAATATTCTTAAGTTGATAGCAAGGGAATAAAGTAGGATACTTTTCTACTTATGTTAGGTCATGTCAAATCAGTATCATAACAAAAATATATTAAATTCTGAGACTGAGTCACCACATGGCAACAACTTGCATATGTTAACTGGGTCGCTAGTAGGTCTTTGTTACTATCCCACTACTAACGCTTTATCAAGTCTCCGAGGAGATCCAGACTACTTAACACTTCTAAATATTATTCACCATTCTGTTAGGTGTCTTGAGTCAGAGATCATTGTCTCAGATTCAAAAGCATCCTTCATAGAATCTGTACACTCTGATGATATTCTCCACAGCTTATGTAAGCTTCTGGTTTATGGTAGTGATACTACTGTGCAGACGGATACCGATAAAGAAAGTCTTGCGTACGAATACCTGCCGAATAGAGCCAATGCTATACAAAACAATGATAATTTGAGCACGGAGGAACGAAATGTGTCGTTCTTGTTCTTTAACTGGAGAAAAAATATCCAGCTTGTGTTGCCACTATATTCCCCGTCAATGGAGTTCAGCACTCTCCGTCTGGCACGCCAGATTGTTCGGGAGCTTGATTGGAGTCGTACACTGTTGTTGTCTGGCATGATAATCCCACTTTTTAAACGGTGGCAGAGCGAGGAGCGGCTACAATTACTTGAGTTACAACAACAGGGTTTTCAATGTTTGCTAAGCGATGCTGAGGAAATCTCACTCGCACCCAACCCACCTAGAGCTGAAAAGCAGATCATCAATTTAAAGGGGTCGTATTGGATGAAAGAGCTTCTTGAAACTATAGCTACGTGTCTTATGGAGCAGATGATTCAGTGTTTAGTTGGAACTTACGATAAAGCGCAAGAACACTCATGTGCTGACGATTTGGTGGATATGTTGGGGCTTTTGTCGAAGGAGGTGCGCTCCTACCGGACACTCTGCGCCGGGGCTACCGCACTCTTGGGATATCAATGGGTTGAGCTTGCCCAAGATGTGCAGCAGTATTTTATTTCTACCTCAAGTAAGACAATGACGTTTACTGTCTCGGGGTCATCAGCCAGTGTCACCATTGCCGATGAAACTGTGAAATCTAAAGATTCCATAGGATGGCTGTGGCAGCACACAGTTGTGCAGCAATGTGCTTGGCGCCATGCACATGAACTTTGGAGGCGTTGGGTGAGATATTTTTCAAAATATGATTACACATCACGTAAAACAGGTCTGTGTTCCCAAAGAGAGGCTGAGGGTAACTTGGCTTTCACATCGGCGACAGGGTTAAATGTGATGGAAACTCCACAAAAGAATGATACGACTTCTTCTGCCGTTTTAACCGAGTCACAATGGCTTTTTTTGAAATGTCTTGTGTTACATACTCAGGACCTTCTGCAGATAAAAAAAGGATTTTATGCGGAACGAGAGATAAATGTACGGAATAATATTTCAGGAAGCACTATGGATCGTTTCGACGCCATTAAGTGGGCGTTACAGTCTTTTTCAAGGAGACTTCTAGAAATTTTTCAGGATATAGCAAACGCGAAACTTGATCTTTACATCCAAGAAAACTTGTCGTTGATTGATGCGTCATCATTTTTTTCACCATCCCATAATCGATTAATTATTCGTGACTACTTCTGGAAAACTATCCAACAAACGGAACTGGAAGCGGCAAAATATTCCAAGTGTCTCTCTCACCCAAAGAATTTCTGGTCTTCACTGTTTTTAGTTTACGGCCAACTCACCGCAATACAGGCTCCAAATGAAGAAACTGTGGTCGGGAGTCTTACCGCAATCGGAGATTCAAGTATGAGCGTTCATAATGACAGTCACCACATGCTTGAGGATGTACTTAATTCTATACAAAAGGCATATCACCGCTGTTCAGAGCGTTCGTTGCATGAGTCATGGCATTGTATTTCAAACATCGTGAAAGGTTCTCACGAAAATGAAAATCAGACTAAAGGTAGATACATCAGGATAGGAGGAAAGAGGCAGCGTAGTGGAAGCCCTATCCTGGAAAGAGATACCAAGTGGAAAGGCTCTCTGGCTTGGGATACCCCGGATTCAAAGCTTAACCGCTACCTTAGCCGTGTGTTCTATTCAGTATATCACCCCAGTTGTTTTCAGTTGCTTCTGCTCGAGCGGCAGAAGCAACTGAGCACTCTCCTATTTGAGCTTCATTCTTTGCTTGTCGTGGATGACCACTGTAACCTTTTCTATTCACAGAGTGGCCAACTGCCGACGAACTCTGATTTTTCTGCTGTCGATTCGACAGGGTGGCACAGTTCTGACGACGACGAGGAAAGCGTCGGACAGGATGCTAGGGTCGCAGAAGTAGCTCCATGTGCCAGGCTTAATAATGACGCTATTTTCTTCGAGCGACTCAAAATATGCCCGACGAGGGTTGCATGCCGTCTCCTTGCGCGTGACGCTCGGTTGACTTTGATGCTCTCTCACGCGGTTTTGTTACTGCTCGAGCGCCGTGGCAGAGTTGCCGGTGAAGTGGGATCAGTCCTTACCGCGGTGCTGATTCCCACGCTTGTCACCTTGAGTACTCATCCAGAGATCGAAGAAGCTCTTTACGATTCAAACCCTCACTCTTCTGAACACCACAGCGCGAACAGGTTAAACCGTTCCAATCGTAGCTGGAGAAGATCTGAGCAGGCTACCTTCTGCTTATATGCCCTTATTCATTCAGAATTCCTCATGGCACTCCCTTGGAGCGTGGAGGGCGTTTACCTTACCATGGCGCGGTATCGCGATTTCACTCGTTATCTCCTGAAACGTTACTGGGGCGAACCTGACACGTGCATATCACAGCTCGAGGAATGGACTAAAGAAGGTGGTGGTGCGGCCGTGCGAAATTCAACTACCTCTATTGGGAATCTCTGCGATAGCCTCGATAATTTCGTCATATTACATGATCCGGTCCTTCGGCAACTCAAAAACCGAGCCTTTGTCATGGCTCAGCAACGGCAGCATGAGCAAGGTGTCACAGCATCGTCTATTCTGGATGAGTGTGTGCGACGTGTGACACCATTATTTATACCTCCACCGTGTGGAACGCTTCTCGTGCTTGCTTTCTCGAGAAGGCTGTTTCAGAAGATGTACTCCCTACGTAATGCATACAAAATGCAACAACACCTTGTAGAGGGCGATAATGCACTGGAGTACCTCGGCCGCCGCTGTATCTTCTGCATTGCAGAAGATATTGAAGTATTTAAGGTAATTGTTCGGACAGCCCATCGTATGATCTTTGCGACGCGGCTCCAACCCATGGGGCTGCTTCAGCTCTGGATCGGCATGTTGGCTCACCTCTTTACCCATGTTGTACCAATGGAGGAGAGTGATGAAGGAATGGAGTTGATGCCGCGAAGTTGGCAGCTGCGCGAAACAGAGTTGAACTGCTTTTCTGAGAAAGTGCATCGAACAGGATGGCGAGCTCTACGACCTTCATCACGTGGGATTATTTCTTCCCAAACAACCCTACGTGTTATTCTTGGTGAACAGCTTGCTGAGCTCTTTTTGATGCCTATGTCCGATCCAAGTTCCAGTCTTGACTGCCCACACGCTTTTCCAATACCTTTGCATTCACCAGAATCGAAGCAAGAACAACTGAAATCACAGATGGAAGTTCAGTGTGTCTTCCCACATGCTGTCCTGGAAGTGCTTTGCTTGTTTTTAAAAGTCAATACAAACGTTAGTAATGAGGAACTTGCACGGTTGTCAACCACAGTAGCAATCGAAGCTTCGGGCGGGTTCACCACCCCCCTATCTGCAACGCCCGCAATCGATGTATCTTCCTCAACTTGCACCAGTATAAAAAGATTAGAGGAGAACAGCTTTTTGGGTCTAGCCGGTCTGGTTGCGCTATGCAGACAAATAGAGAGAAAAGTAGTGGCTGGGACCTTGAAGGATGTCCGTCTAGTACATTTGTTGCGGTGTATATGGGCGGTGGCGGACCTCAGCGCTCTTGAGTGGTAAAACTGCACTGCAAATCCATATCTGTCTTATATCATAAACTGAGGAATCTATCTATCCATCTATATTCATATATATCTCTCTCTCTATATATATGCGTGCAGATTTACAGACGCTTCCGCTACCACTAATTTGTAGCATTGCAACAAGTTGTTTAAGAGGAGAGATCATTATACACTTTATAGCTGTTATTGTTCTCGATCACTTTTTTTCCTTAACTAGTGACAATAAAAAATAAAGGTGTGTGAGAGCTGATTATGATACTGAAGAAAGTGACTCCATGGCTAAAGGTGCTACTTTGTGTGTGGAGTGTGACATGAGATTTGTAGTATGGGTCATGCCTTGTTAATTTTCCTTCCTTCAAGCTTTATCGATTATGGAGCCACTGTAAAATATACTAATCAACCGGCAAACATAAAATTCGTTACCTCTGCAACGTACGGATGAAGCATGTGCATTTTAAACAAAGAATTTTTGTTTCACTATTCTGTGATTTAACACCTAAATATTTAGATATTGTTAGTATATGTGTTTTTGTTATGATAACTAGTTTGCTATCTTTCCACTGAATGCTTTTGATCAATTCATAGTTCTTCAATGGGGAGATCATTATCTCCCCATTCTATTGGATTTTCTACATATCGCATAAAAATGGTAGAATGTTTATTTTGAATCATGCCTAAAGGGGGACTCACCACAGACCGATAGAGAATATATCGGGAAAAGAGTATATAATATTTAATCTATTTGCATCAAGGGTATATCTCCAAGATGAACTTACTAGGCAGAACTAATGATTACTTGTCTATATTAAATTATCGGGATGAACACCTGGAAATTTTTGACCAGAGACCAAGATTATCAGGGATATCATTATATCATGGCTTAACACAACTTACCAAGAGTGCATATCTCGAACATCATATTGATAGTGAAGACGAGTCATACCTCTTTATTTTAGTAATGAAAAGTACTGATAAGCGTTGTCTTTTTTCGAAATTGGACTCATAGAACACAAACAGTCTTTGTCATAAATCTCCTGTAGAAAGTGAAACATCCATAGTAGCCATACCACAGGTACTAAAGGGAGAGAGAGGCGCCGAAAGCTTTAAACCCCAAACCAAGTGTTCTGTCGTGTCGTCGGTGTGGTGGTCTTGGGAGGCTGTCAAAGAAAACGAAGGTGTGGTACACAGTATTGAAGATAATCCATCTTCACGACAGTACTGCTCGTTCTGCTCAGAAGTTTCATCAACTTTATTTCCCATTAAATGTGCCACAGCAGAGTCCCTATCATTGCGTTTGTACAGTACGTTGATATCGCATGGACTTGAGACAGTACACCAAACTTTCCGAGACGTGATAGTAGATAGAGCTCAGAGGAACTTACGCACTTTTTTGTGTTCTGACAGTGGAAATAATAGCATACGCTATCGTGATCATAAATTCCATTTTACAATTTTTTCTACGATGTTCATTGACGTTCGAGAAGCGACCCTTTTCTAACTACCATGCGAAGTAAACACCTCAAGGTGTTGGATATGCTTCAGATGCTTCATCACCTTTGGTGTGCAGCGATCGATGCCACAGGGGGGCTGCCAGTGGGGCTTCTAACGCCTCAGAGGTTCATGCATTATTCAGTGCATCTATGATACCCACAACATTTTAAGGGACTTTAGAGGTAGCGACACACGGTCCAACATCCCTAGATTTCTGACGTTAGAAGCCAAACTTATGCAAGCTCACATAGACTGTTTTAATCAGGTACATCCTGGACTGAATGAGATGGTACCAGAAACAAACCATGTTCCTCACAGGTTATCCAGTTCTGCAGGGTATTTTTTAAACTTTGACGAAATCGATATTCACAAGTATATTAAACACCACCTCGGTAACTTTGCGACATACCCTCTATTCGCTACCAAAGCATCGAGTGCAGAAAGTAACGATATCAATTGCAACTTATCCAGTATGATCAGAGATAGTAAAATTATAGTGAAGCATCCGTTGCACAGAGGTAAATCTGAGGAAGAAATTCCTTCAGGATTTCAACGTGAGAACAGATTACCTCCGGGCGAGTTGTCTTTCTCAATCCGTGTGATCAGTAGGAATATATTACTTACTCTTACACAAATTTACTTCCTGTGACCACATAAGAAGCCGAAGAAAAGCCCTCTGACTCTTCACCATGTCGTAAAGGTATTTTTATACTTATCTGTAACACTAAAAGGCGCCAAATTCTTGATTTTGTGGCTAGACAGAAAATGTCACGACTTTATTAAGCGCTAACTCGAACACAATACACGAAGCCGGCAACTCGTATTTAGTGTTTCCATTGCCCTGAGGACAGTGCCATAATATTGAAACAAAAATTCGAGTATACCGGCGATCAGAACTTACACCACAACCACCTCAAAACATCTCTATTAGATTCAACAATTTACTCCTTTTGTGCCCACGACCATCAACTCCTCCGTCACATCAAAGAAGTTATGTCGATAAAGAGCAAGGCAATCTATAACGTTACTGTTAAGCTTTTACAGGCTTTTGGTGACCTTACCATGAGCAAAGCCGCGATAAACAGATCTCCATCCCTTAGATTTCAAGGGCTTTGACTTAATGTCGCTAGTCGAGGCCCATTAGTTCCTTTCAAGCCTCTAAGTATTATACAGAAGGATCTGTAACACGCGATAAGCATAATATTTCGAATGAGTGAAGCTGTGCCCCTCTCAGTTCTGGATTTTAGCGGAAGCAACGATGTATAGCTTCGCTTTCCTGAGCAAGGCATAGATGCTTGATCCGCTTCAAAGGTTACTTTTTCCATAGTAAAGGCTGTGCTAGTTTAGTATGTGTACCTGGTAAAAAGTTCATAGAAAGAATAGAATAATATATTGAAACACATGGGTAACAGACGGTACAAACTGTGAAACTTGTTATAGTCCGAGTTATGGGACGTCTAAAGTCGCAGACATTCATGATACGCGGATACCAGCTGCTGTGAAGCGTTTTTGAACCATATCATGCTCTACGTTGTCTTGTCTGGACCAACAAGAACTCTGGCATTCAAATGCTGCGAATGGCGTCGCCTGCGTCGCTATTGGTTTGATAAAGGCATTCCCTGATTTATTAAATGGAAATCTGAAAACCGCTTTTGTACCTTTTCATGCTATTGTGTTCTTCAAAGAGGAGAAGCTTTATCGCTTTCATATTAAGAGCTACAAATAATAAAGTTTCGGCAATTAATACGTATTCAGTCCTATGCCATGGACGCTCAGCGATCAAACTATATTTGTACTCAGGAATCTTTAGGGAATCATTCACTTCAGAAAAAGACATGCACAAATGAAAAAAAGATTCAAGGAGGCTTTGGGTACGTCACTGTTACCGAAGACCTTAGTCATTTACACGATATCATACTCAATATTGATTTATTTGAAGAGACCGAGAGTAGTATTCGACATACAGTGTTATACCCTGACGAGTTGCGCGAGAGGAGGGAGCTTCAGCTATTGTTTCGCCTGGGTTTGGCAGCTCTCATTCGACATGAACATGCACTGAATAACCATCTTAGTGTACACACCTGCGAGGCTCTGGTAGATCTTATGTATTTTCAACTTCGGAAACGTGAAGAAGTTTGTATTCAGGAGGTACGTGAACGGGCCATACTTTATGAGCTGACTTCCGGTTGGTTCTATACACGTAGTTCATCAATATTTCTAGAGGGCAGTGATGAAACTAGGACATTGCGGCATTTTCACTCTTCGTTATGGTGTGCTAAGGGCACAAGGGAAAAAGCGGAAAGTCTTGTCGCGATATATAAATCAGTAGAGAGTGAAAAAAATCTTATCCTGGAAGACAAATCCTACGGAAAAAGCTATGTAGGCAACGTAGATATGTTAAGGCTTAAATCCTTTAAGGATGACCAAACACAGGACACAGTATCCTTCATGAAGGGCGGTGACACCACTGTCGAGAACAAGAATTTGATGCATAGTATTTTCAACACCAACAAGATGCTATTCTCGTCGGGAACAGCCATTCATTTTAGTAAGTCAAAGACGAATACAGGGGTGAAAGCCGGTAAAGGTTCCGTGGAAGAGTTAACGGATGGTACTACAGTAAATCCTAGTTTATCTTTCATTCATTGTGATAACAGTGGTGGGTGCGGTCCTTCCTTTGTATCACCTGTCCTGACTTCCCATGAGGGAGGAAAAGCGGCAGTCCTGTTGCATGCTTTGCGCCAGACTGGTGAAGATCTACATTTGCTACGTGATCTCCCTACCCGAAGTGAGTCAACACAAAATTATAAACGCCAACATTACTTGGAAAATATACAGGATAATGATGGAGTTTTTCATGCTGACAGTGATGAAGACTATTGGAGCACAGAGGTGCTTGGCGGATCTTCTACTTCATCACAAAGCGCTTATGCATCTTGGGCCAATGACGAAGATGCAACGAATTCTGATGACGGAAATGCCCTAACATCTTCAGATAACGTGGGAGGGGCCATAGTAAACAAAGAGGAACAATCCTCCAATTGCCCCGTTAAGCAGTCGAGCGATAATTTATTCCCCACCAATCCATTTCTTTATGAATCTCAGCACACCGAGGAGATAATTACCACTTCTGAATACACACACAAAGGTAACCATGCTTCTCAAGAAGCGCGATCTGACGCGACAGCGTCACCGCTATTGGAGTGTGTTGAACTGATTACGGATGATTCTACCTTGCCTACGACCTCTACAAGACGGCGAACTCCCCGCCGTGAGAGGAACTGTACTTTGCCATCTAATTCTAAGAATAGGGGTGTTTCTCCAACCCTCTGTGATTCTGATCAATTTCACCCTCCTGCTATGTTAGCCACCTTCGGTTCTAACGCATGCGGAACGCAATTAACGAAGGGCTATATGAAGCCCACCACCTCCTCGATTTTTCAGAGGCGAGATACCACACATATTAAGGTTTCACAGTGTTCTCCTTTTCGTATGGTATCCCCTTTAACTTCTGGTGCAAGTAGGGCGTCGTTTTCAAAGGGCTGTAGGCGGTTTTATCATACCAAGATTAAGGTAGAAAGTCAAGAACGAGATAACAGTGACTACCTCACCACCTCACCCATGTTCATAAAATCTTTGCCCATGGAAAGTGATCCTGGCGCGTGGTCTCCGATCACTTTGACTATGCAACCCCGTAATCCATATGGCTACACTCCACAGGGTCAACAAGCGCTTAATGCATATCTAATGGACAATATGCTTCATCAGTGTGCATTTACTACGACACTTCCAAAGTATCGCAAGGCAAGCATACCCCGTATGGTCGGCAATAAGGGTAGTGTAGCTCAAGCTCAACCCAGACGAATAACTCGTACATCCATTTCTGAGATAGAAGGCTCTGCAGAGAAATGTGAGGATGAACAAGCGAGATATAAAGAAGACAACTCCTTCGAGCTATTGTGCCTTCCGGAAAAGTCTATGGCCCATCTTCCTGTAAATATACTCCGTTATTTTTACATGCCACAATACATGAAAATGCCACAGCATCTGTGCAGGTCATCAGTGTCACACACCAGGGATATGCCCTTCAGAACAGTTGGATTATCGAGGCATTCTACCAGTGCGGGATCTTACTCCGATGCAATGCATGGTTTAAGTGAAAGAGCTATTCAACAACGTTGTGCTGCTATATCACTGCCTGAAGGTGGGATTGACAGGCCAATACGTGATCTGCCTCAACCATTTTGAGCTCTATCTTATTACACTACGATAGAGACTTCTGTTAAAGAGTAGAGTTGTAATCAATAGAGATGTTTTGTTCAATATTTTTATGTTTATTCCCATCTTTCTTTTTCTCCTGGGGATTGTACTCACATCTGGACTTGACTTTTATACTTTAATAGGGAAAGTAGCTCACACCAACAGCTATGCAACCCGTGGTAGTGAAACTGTACCTTGAAAAGTAATAATTTTCATGATTTCAATCTTTAGAAATGATAGTGTGGATAAAGAAAAATTGTTGAGGGTAACGAGGAACATTTTTTTCTTTTAATATTCCAGCTTCCCATTTTTTTTTGATTAACTACATTCTATACTTTTGCAAAGTCATTGTTTTAGCATTCATTCTTATCTTAAGTTGCGTTTTTTAAACGCTGATGCCACCGAGTCTTTCCTTTCCACGTGTAGTCCTTTTAGGGAAATTCATTCTCACGTGGTGTCATCAGTTACCTGAGGAATTGTCTTATTATTATTTTTTAAATACTTTATTTCTTTTCCTTGTGTATAGTATAAACTCATGAACTTAATGATTTTTTTCCTGACTATCTGGCGATTCCTTATCGAAGGAGGAAAAAAGTGAAGTGAACACTACAGATTATTTAAGATCACTTTTATAAAATGGCGGTGTCTGTGAGCTCCACAGCTTGCATGGGATGCAAAGCTGCTTGCTCTGAGTTCCAGTGTCCATTGTGCCAAGCTGAAGCTCATACTGTGCAAGGCTTCTTTTGCTCACAAAAGTGCTTCGCGGAGAACTGGCTCCAGCACCGCAATGATTTTCACAAAAGAGGTATTGTGCGGGAATCAAAGGGAGGTGCAGTCATTCGTGAAGACAATAGCGATAGGTGTGAAATGTTTGATAATAAAACGAAATCCAAGAAGCGTTCGCGAAACACTGGAACTGAAAGCGAAGGGATTGAAGCTATCATCAAGACTAATGCCCAAGGACCTGGCTCGCTTACATTTCCACCATGGACTCCTCTTCCTAATCCTCAGAGGTATTTAAAAGAACGGGGTGTGGAACCTGACCTTGGTTTAGACTGTCCACGTGCTATCGTAGGCGCGTGCGTTGATGACATTCAGGAGAGCTTTTGGCCTTCCTTAGTTGCCGCCGCACACTATGTCGCGTCTAGCGTTCGACAGAACGACGCTTTGATGGTACTTGTTGTCGCGGGGTTTCCCTACAGCGCCCATGCTTTTGCATGGGCAGCGCGCTGTGCTGGGCTGGGAGGATCGCTCCGTATGGCTGTTACGCTCTCTGGTTTACCAGAGAGATCTTCGCAATACTTTACTCCTCAAAAACGTGTGGTAGTGGCAACAGAAGCAGTTGTGGGCCATGCCGGGAGTGGTGCTGCATCACTCTGGTTGGAGGGGTTAACATCGTTGTTGGTGACACTTCCCGATGTGGTGGCTTATGACGACCTACAGGGTGTGAATATACGCAGCATTTTTTTCGTTTCTAGACGCCCATGTAAAGACGCTAACAGCCACGGGGCTATTACAAAGGAAGACATTTATGGCCAAAAGGGGAGCAAGAAATCAAAGATTGAAAATAATCATGTGTTGGCAAGATCCGAATCTTCATGGTCTGAGAATATCTCTTATGAGGAGCCTACATACGAAGTAACGACCGCTGTAAAAGACATGTGCTGTGGCGAAGGGAATGTTCCGCTCTTGTGGCAACCAGAAATGATTGCAAAAGACCCTGAAACGGTGGATAATATTGAAAAAGACTTAACAAAGAACAGAGACAGCAAACCTATTGCGCTTAGCAAGAATAGGTTGAAGTCTATTCATTGTTCGCCTTGCTATATTCGTCCCTTGACGGATCGTATGGATAATGATGTTTCCACTGCTTTGGTCAATGGCGACATCGCAGCTGCACTACAGCATCTTATACGTGTGTTCAGAGCTGCATCAGGATATTTTGAAGAAGTTCTCTTCAACTCTTTGAGATGCGACTGGGGTGCTGTAGACGTGGTGCATGCTCACCACCGCCTTGCATATCTAATGCGTAATCTTGCCGATCACAGTAGTAGCTTTTCGTTACCGAAAGGTGCAACCATGGCGGACATGGTGTTCCGTGCGATGGTGCCACTAGTTCGTATGTTTCCGAGCCTGCACAGCTATAAGGACAACTCGGTGGGTAGTCCTGGAACAGCAAAGTTTACTGAAATGAAGAAGCGGAAAGGGGAGCCAGAGGGGGAAGACTGTAAGATGGTTTCTTGTCAGACTGATCCCATGGCTCTGGCACCCTTTGCACAAGAATGTCAGCGGTACTTCAACTTCTATAGCTCACTGCCAAATATCCAGCTTCAGGCAACGATTATTTACCTCATCGTTTATGAACCTTCGCCGGCAGCCCTAGATACCCTCGCCGAGGCTTGGAAAGTCACGCACTATATTAAGGCAGGAGGTTTAACGGTGATAAACCGCTCTCGAAAAGATATTATTCATCGACTGCGTAGCCGCTTTAAACCACGTCTCGGTGCCGAATATGCTGAATTTCTTGTAACTCTTATGCATATTCTATACGATACCGTTGCAATTTACTCACTGCCACTTGAGGATGTAGCATGCCGCCTGCAATGGGACCTTACGCTTGCAAGTGACGTGGGGTCACTAACATCATTTCTTGAACTTTGTGGGTTGAGAGCTCCAGTGGCCAACGGTGAATTTGCAAATGATGGGGCCACGCAAAGTCCATCTAAAGACCTAAGTAAAATAATAAGCAATCTATCAAGCCGTCAAGTTAGGCCTTCTTCACTTACTGAGTTATTACGCACTCATGAGGTGAGAGCCGAGACAACGACAACTAAAGGAGGTAAATCCAAGGATGGTGCACACCTCTCTTCGTGCTTCATCTTATTGCCGTGGCTACCCTTCCCTATATCGGGAAAGCGACAGCGCGATGTCACATGTATGGAAAATGCTGCAGTCGACGAAGTTTTAATGGCGATGCCTCGTGAACCGCGTCCAATGTATATCGGTGATGTTGGAAACCTCATCGGCAAGTGGAACGGCTTTAACAGCCGTTTTGGAGGTGTCCTTGGGTCAACGCTGTCGGAATTTCTTCTTAGACATCCCAAAGAATTTAAGGTCGTCGGGGGGTTGGTTTCACGTGTTAAAGTTGGTCATAGTGAGCCAGTGCGCATTCGTTTTGATAATGATGCTGAAAACGTGGATGACCACAACGACAGCGATGACGACAATAAAGCATCTCGAATCCGAAAGGCACAGGATCACGTATTGTTAACAGGGATTAACAGTAAAGGTCGGAAAAATCAGAAGGGGAGTAAACTTGAGAAAGATCTTCCTGCTCGTGCGAGAAAAAAACGTGCAATTAAGGAATTCAATAAACAACGGTTCAATAGGAACTATAAACCTCTCGATCCCTCTGCACGTGTGCCGGGGTATGTGAAGCATGGACCGCGAAAAATCAAAGGCCGAGGTAAGAAGGTGAATATGCACGCTTTCAAGCGAGGCTGAAACTTTCATAATCAAAAATAAACGTATAATACATACTAAAAGGGATAATCAGTATAATTAATGTTAGAGGAATGCAGCTCTAATGGTGGAAGGGAGGGGGTAATAAAGCAAATGTGGCATTTCGAATAGTTAACATAATTAAGTCCCTAAATTTTTTTTTTACGCATTGCAGTTGTTGAAGCTACCATTCTCATTTTGGTATCTTTCTTTATCATGTGTTTCTGACGGATAATCACAGCGCACAAAAATGGCGTGACTCATCTCCACCAAGGCTAAACTTCTCTGATGTTCTAACCGTTTTTTTTTTGTATTTCTTTATTGTTTAAACGGGAATAATATCTTTATTATGTCCTCAAAATAATTACACTTCTGGACAATCGACTTTTTATTTATTTATCTTTTTTTTTAAGGAGGTAGGGTGGGTGAGGTGTGATACAGTAAACAGATTAGGCTCAATACATATTGTTTGGAGTTCGCGGATGGTAAGAGCTGCTGTTGCATTGCGGTATTGGGGTAAAGTTTTCCCTTTGTTTTACTAACGTGCTTAAAAAAAAAATAGTGATGCGTCATTGTACCGCGCTCTTGTCTTTCATCAAGACAACCTCCTCATTGTTACTTCCGATCGCTGCAACGACAACTGCTAATGTTACTTACACACTCACAGAGCGCTCTTTCCTGCGAAAACTTATCCCATTCCGAATCATCGCCACTGGCTCGATGGCATCTGTGCTGCGACATGTTTTCCTTGAGCACGAATCCCTTATTGCACTCTTTCTGGGATCGCTGGAGCATGTACCTTTGCCAACGCTACCGCGCATGCTCCTCGCGGAAGGTTTTCAACGACTGCTTGAAGGTATTTATCCGCAGCGTGAATTACGCGGATTATTTGAAGAAGCTGAAATAGAGATTCGAAAGATCCTGTATGATTTAGATTTTGATGCTACCGGGAGACGTGGTGTATATAAACAGACATCTTCCACTTTTAGTTCGGATGAACTCAGAGCATACAATGCTGTGCAGATTGATCCACTAACGCGGTTACTTGCCTTTGAGTTACGCGCCGTGTGCGTGTACTACAGCAAACTCTTAGCGGTATCTAGCAAGCCTGAGATTGAAGCTGCGGTAATGTTGCGCACGCTTATTGCTTCGGATTTACGCACAGATTGTTTGCTCACTGACGTTATCTTGGCCTTCGAACAGCACCAAAGAGACAAGTACACTGGAAAACCTCTTGAACCAGTGCCGTCAGGTGTGGCAGATTTTGTTAAGGAGTCTTTGCTTCTTGAACGCGACGCCTTTGGGAAGTTTCGCTTTGATGCTCGAGGTGATAATCGGCACTTGCTCCATAACATCAAGCTGGATGATGTTACCAAGACACAGGAGTCGTTTAGTCTCTTGCTGGACCCAGTATTACAGCGGAACGGAAACTTTATATTGAAGAATTACCTTGTTTATTCTGGACGATGGACGCGGTATGAGGTTTCATGTAGTGAAGAGGATCCCCGTGTTGATTTAATCCTGCCAGCAGTTGAGACGCTAAGTGTACGAGATGACATGACTGGAAAGCCGTCCCAGATCATAGTACAGTATACGGAGCCAGTGTGCCGCCGCCACAAGACTAATGCTCGAGAAAGCAAGGCGAACCTCGATCATGTAGAGATTTTTGAAATCGCAAACGAGAACCGAAACCGCACTTTCTGGGAAAAATTTTTCATGGACCGCTAATTTTTTTCATATTCTCTGTGGTTGGTCGACTCGTTTTTTAAATTTATTTGTTGATTTTTATTTCACATCTTTCTTTCATGCTTGCCGACATGTTTTCTTGCAGGTGTGCTAGCATCGCTTTAGATAGGAAGGAAGTAGAGTGGGAGGTGTTATCGAAGTTCAGTCTGGTACAGGGGAAAGGGGGTCATCAAAGATGAAAGTGATAGGAACATTTGATTATCCCCAATATTGCTTTTTCACGTTGTCTTACAAAATTTTATTCTTTGTTATTTTTGATGGACTGCTCATCTTCCATGTTAATTTCACTATCTTCGTATTGATTTCTTGGCTAACTCTTTTTTTACCTAATCTTTTTTTTTTTTTGATATATTAAACCATAGACCATGACGGAAAGTCATAGTTTTTACACCTATTTACCACACGACGCGCCTAAGCGTCTTCGTGGGTACAAATATCGCGGCGAAGATCGTAGCTACATATACAAATACCTTTGGAGTGCACTATGTAGATATGCGGTTAAATTTTTACCTCCTTGGCTAGCTCCCAACGTGATTACTATTACAGGTCTTGCATTTGTATGTATTTCGCACGCTATTTTGGCTTACTACATGCCAAAACTCACGGCTAAGGACCCAAACTATTTATTTGAGAACGAGATGAACATGTCCTACCGAAAAGAATTTATTCCACAGCCACCGTCGTTGGTATTTGTGCTAGTCGCAGCGTCCATGTTCCTATACCAATTTCTGGACAATTTGGATGGTCATCAAGCTCGGCGAACAGGCACTTCATCGCCACTCGGCCTTCTTGTAGACCATGGTTGTGACGCGTTCAACTGTATCATCTCAAGTCTCAGCATCGCAGCATCCGTTTCAGCTGGTCCTTGTTGGAAGACTTGGGTCATTCTCCTTAACACTGTAACGACTTTCTTTATGAACACTTGGGAGGAGTACTATCGTGGCATTCTAATTTTGCCCATTATCAACGGTCCCAATGAAGGCATTTTGGTTGCTATTTCTATATACCTATGGACTGCATGGATTGGTGGGCCACAGTGGTGGTATGATAACACCATCAAAATATCCGAGACGTGGTTACCAGAAGTTTTTCGACAGCCCGCGCCCGATGCTGCTGTCGCCATTGAACGTACTATCATCAGGTTCGTATGCACCTTTCAGAGTTATCTCTTTGGTTCTCATGAGAACAGTACTTACTTTCCTTATTTGCCTTTTATCTTTCACTCCAATTGCTCTGCGTCGTATGTTGAGAATCTGCCAAAACCGGTATTGGTAGTATTTAATAAAGATTTGTGCATCTCGTGCGACGAGCAAATAGTGACATCGAAGTATTGGAAAGGGCATAGCATGTTGCAGAGAATGGTTCTTCGGCTCTACGACATAGGAGGGCATAAACTGAAGATAAGATATAATACCCTTATGGTGTGGTTTATGACCTTAGCTGCGATTTGGACATGCGCAGGAAACATCTACCAGGTATTCAAAGCTATTAGGCGCCGCATATATTTAAATCAGCAATGTAGCGGCAAAGATTCTGGTAGCATAGCTCAACTGATGCCGGGTTTCTGGTTTGGACGTCATTTTCCCTTTCTTTATTCGCTCGTCGAGCTCTCCCCGCTAGTAGTGTTAGTCTTCATGGCTAATGTTTTTTTCTTTGCTTCGCAGGAAAATATATTTCGTCAACACCCAAGAATTTTTTGCTGGACAGTGGGGTTGCTCTTCACAAAGCTCACAGTTCATCTTATGTTGGCTCATCTTTGCGGTATCGAGTTTCAGCCATTCCGTCGAACGTTTCTTCCTGTATTTTTATTCGGTCTTCACACCACTCTGACGTTCCTCCACGGTGAGGCTAAGTTGATGCAAAAGCAGTCGGTCAGCACCTTGACCGAGACATTTTTGAATAACAAGAACAACCAAATCATCCCTTCGTGCCAAATGGTGGGAGAACACTCCAGATTCACATATATATTGGATGAAAATCTTATTCTATACGAATTTTTTGCGTTATCGGTGGTAACTTTTGCTCATCTTGCATGGAATGCGGTCCGAGAAATAGCTTCGGCTCTAAATGTTCAGATTTTTAGAGTGCCGTTAGATAAGCAGATGATGTTGTGCCGACAAATTGCAGACGGTAAAGCTCGTTCTATTTCTAGTAAAAAAAACGTTTAAGAAAGTTGTAAAGTATCTAGCAATCTTTAAATGCACGCGTCTCTTATGGAAATTGTAAAACCTAAGACAATGAAACAGGTAAAATTAAGTTAAATATTTATGTTTCAGTTCTCAGCGTGAGTTTTTCTTACTGCCAGACTTAACATGTTTGAATTCTACTATGCATACATATATTAAAAAAATAACAATAATTTATATATATGTACGTATGTTTTTGCAGTTGCTTGTAGTGCTATCACTGGGATTTTTTCTAAATCCAAGATAATTTCTAATGGATATATGAACATATACCCATCTCTGTTGTAATGCTAGTTGAAGAGAGCACCGACGCCAACAACTAAACTCACTTACCAATAATAATCCTTTCTAGTCTTTTAATCGCTATACTAATTGCTTTTATATATTTTTTCGGTCCCCATTCTTTTGGGTTTGTCAATTCAAAGAATAAATGAAGGTGAGCACACATACTTTTGTATATCTTAAACCTATTGAGTATATAAATAGATCGTTACTAATATAGAGCGAAGATAAAGGAAAGATAGATAAAGGTCGTGTTCTTCTTGAAAGTTAAAGCATATCTATTTCTAGAGAGTTTTACCATTTTACAGAATGATCAATAAACCAAATCAAGCACCTAAATTGAGTTTATCCCAAGATATCCAAACTCTGCCTGATATTTCTTCTAGTGATTTCATTGGTAGTGACATGCATAACTATCTTGCCGCAAATAGTATACACCATAAAGTCAGAAAATATACTAAGAGTATGGTTAGTAGACAGAGAGCGCCCAAACGCGTAGGTTTTATTTCCCCAAGCGTAATACCGAACAAGGCGTCAACTACCACCATGGCATTACTTAACATGTCTGTGGAGAGGTCCCGAAGTGCAACAAAATCCAAAGACGAAGGATTTAAGCGCGTTTCTAATGGAATAGGCAATAATAATAATACAGTGAATCGACATTCAAAAAGTACCTCATTGTTGATATGCGATCTTTCCAACAACAAGCACTCAAAAGATAAATTATGGCTGGATAAATGCGATAATGGTGATGACTCAGCGTGTTTATGGACACGGCTCACTCTCTCACCGAAACTAAAGGAGCCACTTTTTCGCAAGACTCCCATTGATCGGTTCCCGAATGCAGAGTCTTCCCATCAGACAGCGATGCTAGATCCGTGTGAGTTTACGGTTTCCAGAGGTGTAGAATTTGACTTCCAGGAATCTATGACTCAAAGCCGGCATACTCTTATGGGAGAAGAGGAAGTAGACACAACCCATTTGCTCCTTGATGCAACACTAGGCCGAGCTGGTTTTCCCGCCACTTCTACGTTGCACGCACTGGGGGACACAATGATAGAGAGTCAAATAGCTCTTGAAGAACTCAGTACTCTAAAATGTAGACTAGAAAATGTTGATCGTCGTCTAGAAAATTCCTCAAAAGGAAGTGACGTAGACTATACCGATGCTGTATTTAACAAAATTAAGACTATTGCTGAAATAGTTGAGGCTGTGGATCAAACCGGTTCCCTTCTAGCTTTCACCCCATCTAACAACCTAGATGATAAATTTAACACTATGGATAGCTTGAGCCCAAGATACAGCGATAGCAAGAATGGACTTTTCTTTGAAAGACACTTCAATTCTGGAATGTATGCGATGGAATTACTGAAAGACAGCATATCCAGCGAACCAAATAAGGCTTCTGATGACTATGATATGCTGGAACAGTTCAGCACAGATTATGGTGGAGCGATCACCTCTAAACAGCAGAAGGACAGCATCGGCGTCAAGACTTGCATCAATGCATTGAAAGATGATTTTGTTCTGGGTTTTATACAAAAATCCGCGCACGAGGTAGAAAAGAAGAGAATGGGAATATCTATAAAAACTAGAACCAAAACTTCCTGTTTCAGATCAAGCATTGAAAAAGATTTGATTGATCCAGAAGAGGTGCGGCAACTGATGCCTTACACCCTTAGCTATCTTCGAAACACACTTCTCGCTTCTTCTTCTTCCTTTCCGATTACTGCCGCTGCTAATGTCAATACAGAGTTCTACCAGAGTGAAAACTCTGACCGAAGTCTTCCAGCTGGTAAGACAAGTGCTGAATTGAAGAGACACCAACGGCAAATATGCTCTGAAGAAGAAGCTATTCTTAAGAGAATTCTCCATATACAACCTGAGATTTCTTGTGAAATGAGGAAAGAATTTTTTCGCCTACGCCGACAAATGAATCACCTAATAAGTATTCAACAAGAGCATTTACAGAGGCTGAAGCGTGTGCAGCAGGATGGGACCAAACATGGACTGCTCGCACCGTGTGTGGATCCAGTTGCTGGGGCATTTCTCGAACCTACATACTCTGGAGACAATTACCCTAAAGGCCTCGATAAAATTATTGAGTCACCTATGTTAGGAAAGCAGCCACAGCACGCTGGACATGACCCTAGGCAACCCCATCTCCCACTGGTAACCATATCAACGGCCAATTTACCTACCCTCTCGCTTGGCGCTTCTTCGTCGCAGCAGTTTCAATGGTCTGCACTTCTGGAGCGTGAAGCGAAATTCTGTGAAAAGGAACTCCATCATATTAAAGATGAGTACAACCGTTTCCTTATCGATGAGAAGCAGCGCCATCGTGATGAGCGAAAAGCCTTTCTGGGCGCACTAAGGGAGCAGTACACAACCCTCTTTAAGCAGTATAAGCAGACCGTTAACTCACTTCAATGTAAAGCACAGCTAGAGCAAAAGGAACAAGAAGCACTGTTAAAGCGCAATTTGCTATCTGAACAGAAATCAGTGCGGCATATTATAAACTTAGAGCGACAGCGTCTGTCTGAAGTGGCAGCTAATAAAATAAAGCAAGATACATCAAACATTAAACAGTCTTATGTTGCTGCCACACAGCCACCAGATCACCACTACCTTTCTCCAGTGTACTTTTCAAAGCAACGAATGCTGAAGAAAAATATTCCAAAGCACAAGATACCTTCTTCAGGTGTTAAGCAGACAGTCTTCACAAAATGTACTGAGTCAGGTGTGGGGGATCTCATCGAACCTGCGGTACAAAAGTCAGAGATAACGATTGAAAACCCTTGTTGTGTCGAAAAGGCTTCAAATGAAGCTGCAAACCCTTCTGCGCGCCAACTTGTTATCAAAAAGGGCACACCCTTTGTTGTGCAACTTCCCGATGAGGAAGAGATGTTTAAGCGAGGAAAATATCCCCCCAAAAGGACAAACGTTGGGAGGGGGCACATTTCAGGTAAGCTGGTTGTGCCTTCCAGGAAACCGCGACGACAACCCCGGCATTCCGCGCCATTTTCATTCTATCAAAACTCAACTCCCGCACCGATACAGAAGGATTTTGTTGATGACTCTTTTAATTTTGGTCCCGCGATGCGCAATTCGGTTCCCCAAGCTTACTCTGCGTCCCATGATACATATCCACAGCCTAAAAGTGTATTTATGTTTCAGAAGACCTTTCCTATTTCTTCTTGGAACTCTCTTGAAGGCTGCGATGTCTCTGTCAAGTTTAAAGAAGGGGAGGAAATTGTGGACCGTGAAGACAGACAAGGAGAAGGGGTTCCACAGAGTTTCGTCAAAATTTGTACAGAGAAACCACTACACGATCAAAACGCACTTGATAATGGAACTACTACGGCAGTGACTGCGGGGAAGTCCTCTGTTGGTCGTATTTTGGTTATGTGCACACTCAAAGAGAACGGTGATAGTCAAACCATGTGGTTGCCTGGGGAGCCACCGTCGCGTTATGAAACAGGTGTTCACACTTCGGAAACCGAAGGTGGGATGGCCCAGCGCCCCTTACCTCTTTCGGATGACTGCATTCAAGCCATCGGTAAGCGAAGCTGTGTGGGGAGCTCCAACACCGGAAAAATAGATGAAATTCTTCCGAGGGACTACGAGACCGGCAGCTGTGCAGATATTCAACTGGGTACTTCGGCGGTAATGGTAAGTGGAAATGGCGCCTTTGATCCTTCCCCCGGACTATTAGCACCTTCCAGGTGTGACTATTACTACTTTGGTGAATCAAAGATGAACGACTGTCCCCGATACTGGAGTCTGATCGACTCTATGGAGTGTGAAGTGCAAGGTATCCGTGGATATCAGCCTTATAAACAGAAGTCAAGATCGTTGAGGTCTCCCTTGCAAGCAGCTGCAACGAAAAAAAACGATGATGAGGTTAATGCTGCCTTCACGAAACGGGGTTCTGAATTTTTGCCATCTCAGATAACAGTAAGGCAAGAGAAGGATATATCCTATCTGAAGGAATGGGAGCGGTCTGAAGATGAGTTCCGCGAGGTGATTGGTGACCTAGAAAGTTCAAAAGGATTTGCTGTTTCGCCTTTTGGTATGTTAAAAATGACCTCCGCAATGACTTCTGAAGCAGCGGTATTGCTTCACATGCGTCAGCGTCTTTGCCGTATAAGGCAATTATTTTTGTGTGAACCCCTAGTGGAAAGCGTTTCTGTTCCCACTTTGTCATCATGGATTCCCTCACATAGGGGCGTCATAACACAGGGTTACCAACCTGTGCGGAATGTGTCCGCGAGGGAAAGTTGCGGTCTGTCGCATGATGACAGCGACAAACAGGTTCGACAGCCTCGAGAGGATATTATGCACGAAACGGTACATAGTGCACTGGGTAATCACACAGAACGTGCACTCTTTTCGGAAGTTATACAAGGGATCGAATCGGATTTGTTTTCCGCGTGTCTCAGACACGAGGTTGCGCAACGTGACAAGCATCTTCCTGTGGAAGCAGAACCATTAAGCCCCATGCCGCGGGAAGAGGTGGATGAGGAAGTATTTATGGAGCTCCTGCAGAATATTTTTGAGGATGCTGTCCTGAAGCAATTCCTTATGAATACAGAGCGGCGAAGGATTCTTGAAAGTAATGACAGGATTCTCGAAAAGAAAAGCAAAGACGATTCCAAGGGTGGTGACCAGCTTATGCTTGAGACTCTTCACCATGCGTTTGTATCTGTGGATTGTAGTCATCGGTACGAAGATGGACAAGATAGTCACGAGGTGGTTTGTGTGCCTGAAATTTCCTGTCCTTTGTGGCTGAACGACGGACAAGTCGACCCTCCTAAAATGAAGATTTTTCAACCACATGAATCGAATTTACTGAAGTCATCAACAGTTTCAGGGTCTCCTTCTGTGATGCCTTCTGTGTTACTTTCAGTGAAGACTATCCTACACGAGGCAGAACAGGTAAGTTTGTTGGGAAACATTGAAGGGGAGATTGAGGTCGACTCAGGCACTACTGATGTGAGACATTTGCCCATCAATAACACTCACACTGTGAATGTTGTCTTTGATATTTCAAAAATTACGCAATGTGACTCCCTTCCTCATCTTACTTCTAAATCTGAAAAGCGCTGGACGTTACCGCAGGAAGTTGGAAGGGCGGATATCATGCAACATGAGCAACTACGTTCTCTGGTTCCAGATGAAGACCTTTCTGATGTTATCGTGGAATCCATAACTTTGCTACCAGAAGTCAAATCCGGAGAACGTCCGATGACGAATCTGATCTGCGACGCATCGCATCCTGTGGAGGAGTTTAAAATCCTATCAGACAAGTCAGTTTCGTTTGGAAAAGACATTTCTATCAAACACAAGGATTACTACACTCATGAAACCAATTGGCACGCCGATGACCTGTCAGCTGACCAAAGACCAGCAGTGATCCTGGATCAGGTCCCCACCCTCAGCGCCGTTCCTATTTCTGAAGTGCCGGTTATATTGATGCCAGAAACTGTGAAAGCCGTATTGCCCGCTGCACCTGAGATATTTCTCCGCACTCCCTTCTATCCAATGGAAAGTTTGTTTCGTGAGCTGCATATGATGGAAACTGAGCATCGGGAGTCTCTTTGTAGTCAGGAGATGATGCACCGAGACATATTGGTTACGATGCAGGAGTGGTACAGTCATCTCCATTATGCCTCCACTAGTCTGATCTCCGCAGCCCCTATCTTCGCGCCGTCACCACCGAAGGAGCGAGAACAACTGCAGCCACATTCACCGACGTGCCCCTTAGATAGTTCACCTGTGTTGTCTACCGTGATACGAGACCCAGTGACAAAGTTTATATTTGAATGGCTCAAATCATTTAATGAGAAGCGGATGCAGCACACTGAGGGACAGCATTTCGTGCAGCAACTTCACGCTTCTGTGGATACGGCAGAGCACGGAGCTCACATCCTGAGGGAATCAGAGAATATCAGCTCTTTCTCTGCACAAAGAAAAGAAAGTGACACAAGCCTTTATGAATCTTCATCGTCGATGTCTTCGTCGTCCTCGTGGCTGACATCGACCAACCCCAGCAGCTATGACCCTGTTGGTGGTCATCGCTTTCTTCAGGCAAATCAACACCTGGTCCGTGTGCGGAAAACACTAATACCACACGCGGTCGATGATGTTGGTAAAAGTTCTCATCTCTATTTACGTCGCCGCCGTCCAGTGCTGGATGCTTCGTCTTCTGGATCATCTAATCAGAGGAACCAACACGGTAGCAGCACTGACAGCCTCAACACAGCCACAGGTACGACAACACGATACACTACAACGACGACGCGAGGAACCACCGCTACTATCTTTTCGTTTAGTCGCTTCAGCGATACAGAAGTCCATCCTAGGGACTCTGATCCGTCCCCTTGTTCACCTAGTGATCTCTTAGTGGATGTGAACGGTGAAACACAAGTCTCATTGGAGAGCCCGCCGCCTCACAAGCCACATTTGTCACTTTCTTCATCCATTCCAGATCACTCCTTGCCACACTTTCCGTGGCTAGTTGAGTAATCTTAGTATCAAAGATAATCGCTGAGGGACCTAGCAGATTCTCATTGTCTATTTCCATTTGTCTAGAGATGTGGAATACTTCACTTTCATACAATCTAAAAGGCTAGATCCTTTTTTTTCTAATTCCATTCATTTAACCATGTTATGGTCACAATTTTCATATTATACCTTCCAACAGTTTAAGCATTTGAACTTCCATGAACAAAATATGGTCATTTTTTTGTCATTCCATAATAGCTTAAGGATGATCCGAAGTTCTTAAGCTTGATTTTTTTACTTCTACCCCTTGAAGTTAGATGGTATAGTATGACTAATCCCTTAGATTTACCACTTTTAAACATGTGCGCCAAGAGAAATTTTTTTTGGTGCGTTATCTTTTATTTCTAAGAAGCTCAAAGGAGTGCATATTCACGCGACTAGAATGAGATGAGGCTTTGTTCCTTTTGTTAGAATAAGGAGTCTAATCATGTACACCTTTCCATATGCATATCATCTCTACCTCTCTCTCTTTCTATATATATATACATCATATTTTTAGTAAGCGTGATTGTTAAGCATAGCTTCCTGAATGCCGTAATAATAATAAATTCGGTATCTAAAGGCTCGCTGATGAGTTATATTTTGAAATGATCAGCTCCTTGATATTTCTGAGTTTCCAAAATCTTAACACCTCCATCGAATGATTGGTTATCAGAATTAGAGAAACCCCATATCATTATGACCTTTGTTATAACCTTACAGTATCTATATTTCAAATCTGCACTTATATAGATGATGATTTTTCACAGGTTAATGACAATTCGTATTATGGACCAATCATAACAGATTTTTTTCCTTTTCCTTAACGGCAACACCTGAGATGGTGATGATGTGACTTTGGAATAGTTTCAAGGCGGTTTTCGTGTAATCTTAACAAGGGTTAGTAGAGAGCCGTGAAACAGCAGGAATATCTAAATCTCTTGATTGCGACTGTTATTTATTACATTTGACCTAAAACTTTTTATGCCATTTTTTTTGTGATACAAAAGCATTCCAGTATAAGTCTTTTATACACGATGTGTGTGTATATGGAGGCAGTAAGCATATTTGTGCGACAGGCGAGTACCACTGTGTTTTTGACGACATCAAGAAAACAGCTTCAAACGCAGGTACAAAGTCTGATCAAGATGGGAACACTCGCGTTTCTGGGTAAAAAGTTATCATTAGAGGGAGCATATCAGTTGGTGGCGTGGGTACCTTAGACCTGACGACAAGTGAAGATTATTTTGACACATGGGTTAATGAAATGTGCGGAGGCAGAATATCATACCGTTGTTCACATCTCTGCTTTGACAACGTTAATCGCCTGTATGTAAATTATGTTTCATACAGTACATTTATTGTCTGTCTTAGGGATAAATTCAATTTGCGTACAATGTTTAAAGTAGAGGGACTCTGGCGAGCCTGACAGTGTGTACTGCTGTGCAGTGGGACAGGCATTGACGGTTCCCCTTCGTATTACTAGATGTGCTGAGACTATAACGGTTATAACACTTCTGGGTGACCTAAACACGATATTAACAATGACATTAAGAGGTATCGTAGACATATCTTCTCCACACTCACTCATCTCACACGTCTTATTATTGTACTCGGACTGTTTACGTGTGGTGCAACTACTTTCAGTCTTGTGTATTTTACTTTGCATAAACTGAACTTGTTATTTTTTTTATCGGAGGCAAATATCAAGTTTGATTCAAATAAATGAATAAGATACAACGTTATGTCCAGAGTCTTTTTCAATATTTTAGTTTACCATTATGGTATAATATTTAGCTCCTTATATCTTTTTATAAACATAGAACGCGTACCCCAAATCCAAGGTTTCACAGGTTACTACTAACTGAGATGACAGTTCATCGGAGGATGAGGGGTTAAAAATACTAAAGCTATAATTGCGACGCTTCTGTAGTAAAGAATATATATATATATATGCTCGTGTGTACCTTCTATTCATCCACAGCAAAAGTTGATTTCATTGCCTTTGTTTGGTCTCTATTCAAGACCCTTTTATAATTTAAATTTGACTTCTTTTTCTCTCTTTTTTTGTGGTTTCACCACCAAAAAGACCTTACGTACATTGTCACCGATCCCCCTTTATTCATTTCAATTTCTTTTCAATACCTTCTTTACTACCGACTTATAAGGTACACATTGCTTTTATATTTCAGTATATCAATTTAGTTACATACCTATAATAATAACAAATTAGAGTAGTTCTTGTTAATTACTCTTTCTGATGCAAAAGCGTGTATAATCCATAGTGAAAAAAAAAGTAAAAGTAAGATAATTATTATAAGTAAAAAATAAATTGGATGACCCATTCAGACATGACACACCTGGGTCAACAATTCTCGCCTGTATGCATGGCTGATGCTTCGGCGATTTCACCACGCACACAAACTCCTGACATGGCATCTACAGATAGTCATCATAAAAATCACCTTTGCAATATCAGGAGAAGAAAGAATAGTTTTGGTGGCGTTTATGAGGTACTCGGAACTGAAGAAGACAATGTAGTTTCTTCTGACATCAACAAAGGTTGTTTGACTGTACCTCAATCATCACTTAGAGAAAAGTCACGTGATAATAGTGTCGTTTTCAAAAGTGGCAAGACAAGCAACGCTACACAATCCAGCGATAGCGAGGATGACGAGGGGTGGGTTAGAACTTCCGCGCGTGCAGGATCTCCTGTTGACTCAAAGCCAAGCCAGATGACAAGTACCACAAAATTTCAATCCTTCCCAGACGTTGAACTTGAGGCAACTACGCCGCATTATCCTATCATTAACTTTAGCGAATGCATTGCGATTCCCACTGATGTGGCTACCACAACCTTTCCTGAGTCCAAATACCCCCACCCCCCCACAGAAATGCATGGTCTCCCTCCCACTGCTCCCGGAACGTGTGCTGACGAGTTGGATTTAATGATAAACGAAAAGCAGTCTGCAACTACTATTTGTGCTAAAAGACACCTTATGCAGTCCACAGCTTTCTCTCGCTCTACTCTTGTGCCGCGGATGCCTCCACTTGTTCACACTGACAGCAACGCTTCTACAGAAATAGGAAGCAAAAGCCTTAATTATAGCTGCATTCCAAACCACATACTCAGCTGTGGTTGTGTACACAATAATAATAACAACAATAGCATTTTCATGGATTTGGTGCCTAGTTCCTTTTCTAATACTCCAGGCACATGGAGCCCCAATCCAACATCAACAAACAAGGTCGAGTCGTCGTTTCTGTGTTCGATAGTGAAACATAAAGGTCGTTCTGCCCTCATTGCTGAGCTGATGCATCGCAGAGAGTGCCTTAAGAAGAAGCTCACACAACTTCAACTTGCAGCCACAGAAAAGAACATATTTGCTATTGTACGTGCCAGCAAAGCGTCGCAGCTACAGTATCTACTTCAGGAAAGGCTACTAAATGTCAATAAAAGAGATTACAATGGCTGCACCCCGTTACATGTCGCTGTGAGTGAAGGTAATATGGCCATTGTTAAAGTTCTCCTGTCCTTCGGTGCGGATATTCTGGCGTTGGACAGCTTCGGCAGAACCCCATTAGATTGTGCAGCAGCGCACCGACAGAGTGGGGTGGCGAGATATTTGATGGCAGTAATCCGTGCCCCATCGCAACAAGAGGTGGAGGCAGCAGCAGATATCCAGAGCGCTGAAAAAAATGACGATCAAGTGTTTGCTGATCCTCCTGAGGTATCATCTTCATTGTCTTTGCCATCTCCTCTTGGTTGCTCGATGGCGTCGAGTCTAGCACAAGCACAGGACCGTAAAATTAGTATAGATGCATCTTTTCTTTCTATTCCAGACTTCGCACCTTCACAGCCCTTCGACAAAGTCAACGAGGAGATCATGAACGACACCTCAAGCTCTGCCCTCTTGAAGGCTGCACAACGCAGTGTGACACCACAGGAGGTCGAAGCTACAAAAAAAGAAATAGAAAACACTGATGCTATCAAGGTCGTTAATCTTTTAGAGGGGCTACCACCAGTAGGAATAGATGCAAGCCTTAGAGCTACTCTCAACTGTGTTAGTTCTAGTGATGTGCCGTTCTCACAACCTGTGCCGGTTCTGATATCTTACACGGATGATAACACACGCAACGAGAATGGTGCAGATGTGGGGAAGACGATATTAACTGATTCTCAACTGATGGAAGCCCAACGATACGATGCACTCGTGGGATGTACAGAGCAGGTACAGGAGTTACCAAATGCAACAATTGGTGATGCAAAGAGTAACTGCACTATTGGCATTGATTCGCAGAATTGGCGCTGTGAATTTAAGGCAACTATGACACCATTTGTGACCACTAAAGCGGTGGTTTTGGAGAAGCCTTTGGAATCTTTTGTAGAACCTGATATAAAAGCTAACCAGAGTCTGAAGAAATTAATCCTGAACAACGAAGCTGAAAAGATTTTTTCACACGAAAAGCCAATGGATATGGGGATTACTTTAAGGGAACATTCCAAATTTACCACTATACCGGACAACGTATCCCTGATTGTGTGCTTGTGTGGGTTGCCGGCGCGTGGTAAAAGCTACATTACGATTCGTTTGATGCGCTACATGAACTGGAAGGGCATTCCTTGTCGTGTCTTTAACGCAGGGAGCTATCGCCGAAAGTTGTTGGGCACTGAAGGAACCTCCAAAGCTGATTTTTACGACCCCAACAATTTTCAAGGGCGAAAGCAGCGCGAGATCATGGCAACGCTCGCGTGTGAAGATCTTATAAACTTCATTATGCTCTATCGAGTTGCTATTGGTATTTTGGATGCTACCAATACTACCAAATCGCGTCGGTCGAGGCTAAAAAATTTCTTCTCTATGGAATGTGGAAGACGTGGTCTTCAGTATCGCCTTTTGTTTATTGAATCGGTGTGCACAGACGAGGGAATTATTACTGAGAACATTTTGCGCAGTAAGTGTAAAAATGGTGATTTCAAAGGTATAAATGACACAAACGTCGTTATTGCTGAGTTCCGAAAACGCATTCAGCAATACGAGAAGGTCTACGAGACCCTCCACCCAAGTGAAGGACTGTCTTTTATCAAAATCATAAACGCCAAGCATCACATTATTCTTTACAAGGTTTCTTCTGGATTAGGAAGCCGTGTGGGATTTTTTCTGATGAATCTCCATCCTATTTCATACCCCATATATATAGTACTTCCAGGCGAGACTGAAGGGGATCATGAGGGCGTGTATGGTGGCAGCGAACGTCTTACACCCCGTGGTGAATCTTTTTCATGGGCCTTAAAGAACTTTATACAGGACCGCTACGTGCCGCACATGCTTATTCTTCACGGTACAAACCAGAGTGTACTAAGCACTTTACGACCCCTTTTACAGGGTGACGACGAAGCCACTCTTAAGTCAAATCTGAACTATCTATACCAACCCTTAGTTCACCATCATGCCTTTGATGGAGAACGTGCGCATCACCGTCACCACAGAGACGAAGACAGTGCCACTGCACTAGCACGCAATACTGGCATAGTGTTCTGTCGTCATGCTGCTAATCCGGAACATTCATCACGCAGCATGATTTTACCAAATATTTCTAATGCATCACGTGTGGTATCACCCAGCTCACAGATGGATAGAACGCCCCTTCCCATGAGATCGATGGGAGAGGTTGATGTGGTAAAGACTATGAAAGGCGGATACGTTAACATGGTACCTTTTTTGGATACCCATTGTCAACAATCACAAGAGCATCAGGATGGGCGAAAAGGTGTTTTATCACACACAGAATGCCTCGAGAACAATGATGAGGATGATGAAACAATTGAAGAAGTCTTGTGTGGGGTGCCGGGGCTGGATAATATTAACTACGGTCTTTTTAGCGGTCGTGACGCGACATGGGCACTCCAGCACTACCCGCGGCTCTTACCTCTGATTCATGTTAGCGGTCTAGCGGATCCACACCCTGACCCTGGAGTCGTAGAAGCCGAGGCGACGGCGCAGGAAGGCGCAAAAGTGGAAGCCTTCACCGCCACACCTACCATCACTAGATCAAACCAGGGACATGGAGCCTGTGTCACACCGCCGATACATTTCTCAAGCTTCGAGGATGCTCTCCGTTGTCTCTGTCGTTTCCCTACAGATGTGGATCCAAGTCTTGCCTATAACATGCACTTCCCAAATGGAGAGAGCTTTCGGCAGGTTAGCGTGCGCTTGGAGCCGGCGTTGATGGCGGTGATGAGAACACAGTCATCCGTCTTTGTGGTAGCATCTCCAATAACAGCACAGGGTGTACTGGCTTTTTTCGCCGATGTCATGCCGGAACAGTTAATGACGCTGCGCTTACCACAGCACTGCGTTGTTGAGATCGGCTTTAACGAGTCCATTATCGTGCACCCGTTGCTTCCAGACTCTGAAGTTAATTGCAAGCCCAATGTAGTATCACCTATTCTGACGCAAGAGGAGATAAATAAAACACTTAAACTGGCGTACTCTACTCATTACTTGTATTGATCGAAATCTGTATGATAATATGAAAAAAAAACACGTATCAGTGTTTATTCATAATATATATATAAGTCAGTATGCACATGTATCAATATAATATGTTGTATGATAAATGGAGCTTAGACTTTAGGGAAAGTAATACTTTTTGTCGGAAAAATATAAATATATGCATATGAATGAGGGGTGATGATATGGAAGTCACTTGTATCCATCACAAAAGAGATTCAGAGCATTGTTATACACTACTGGACTCATAAAATGATGCAGTAAAACAGTAGGCCAAACAAACGGGAATATCTCATCAAGCTTTTTTCTCTATTGAGACAGCCTCAATACTCCTAATGGCAACGCAATTAGAAACATTGAGATTAATATTCATATCAATATCTGATTATCACATAGTTTATAGGGGGTTTCTTTATTCATTTGTTATTATCATTCTCTCAACTGTTTCATCTCTGAACGGATTTTTGTTCTCCCTCTAGGTATATTTTTTTCTTTTTCTTGGTCAATTAAGTCACTCGGATTTTTACGGTTGATGTGTTTTTCCGCTTTCTATTTTGAACACACAGACATATATATAGTAATCTATTTCTGTATTACGCCAAAAAATATGACAGAGTAAATGTTTTTCGGGTTTGAATATAGGGCAAAATCGATGCTTTTTTCTTTTGAGTACTTCATATCTTATAGTGTACATTTACACACGCAAACACACACACACACATATATATCTAAAGAAAATCATAAATTTGAGTTTGAACCTGAACAAAAAATTCTTGTTTATTGTGATATTACTTATTTATTGATGAGATAACAAATATCATACACATATGCCTGCTTCTATGACATCGGTTATAGTATATTCATTTTCTATTAATGTACTCCATTTTTTCCCTAATCGATTGACATTAATTAGTTGAATTAAATGCGAAAATACTGAAAAAGTGTGAAGATTACTTTTATCTAAAAAGTTATGCGTTATATCATCCAAGAGTAGGTTCTCAAGAATATTTTTTCCAACTTTAGTGTTGTATTAGTACTGAGTTATTTTCCTGAATTAATGATATCGGTAACAATACGACATCTTAATCTCTTTTATTGCTTCTTTTGCATATTTACATATTTATAACCTCTCAAGTGCACTCAAAACAACGTAATATACCAAGCCAAGGCTTAAATATTTGATTTACTGAGTTGGATTCATTTCTTTAGAATTTTTGATTCATTTTCTTCTCCACATTCACACACACACACGCATAAACACGCTCCCAGGATAATAAAATAAAGATGCATGTATTAAACAACGGAACTCCGTTGACTAATGGGGAAGTTTATGCTCTTCTCCGTCGACGCCGAGACGAACGTAGCGCAGAAGTCCACCCACCTTTCGGTCTCCAACACGTCCAGGCCGACTCTCAAAACCGTGCAAGCAGCCACTATGGTCCTGCGGGTCGCCTCCTTCCTGCACACACACATGGTAGTGTCGGCAGCAGTGCCTCCTCGGCAGAGGCTTCACGCATACTATTGTCGTCACCCTCTTCTGCGCACCTGAGAGTATTGCTTACTGAAGTGAGATTGCTTAATTATTTAGGAAATTACGCCCACCTAACAAACTCAAAGGATGGTGCGCTTCGGAACATTTATGGCCCCTCTACAGTCTATGCTCAGCAACAGCAGCCTGAATCTACTTTGACAAGAGTAGGGATGGGTAATAAAAATGACAATTTGGAAGTACGGTCTGGGGAGGGGTGCTTTCAGAAAGACTCTCATGTGCCAGTTTCTTCTAAATATAACACTAACGATGACAAATCAGCCGGCTTGGACACATGCAAACCGCGTTGTGAGACCAAACAAAGCGACTTAATCAATGCCAAACAGTGGCAAGAGGTAATTATACAGAGTCGCGCTGGGTCACGGGAGCATGTCCATGCGGTACAGCAAATTCTTACATATTACGAGGAACAAGGGTATCAAAGAGAGAAGAATTGGGGTCATAAAATCCGAAGCTATGTTGAAGCTTTGCATTTTAATACCCCCCACAAAACTGTTAAATGTGAGCCAAGTGACAGCGATGAGGGAACTTACGATGCCTCGGGCGAGTTTCTTCTTTCTCCAGCCATTTTCTCAACTACCGGAGTGCGTCCGGCAAATGCAATAAATGTTCGGGCATTGCTATCCACTCCACAAAATTTACACGTGAACACTCGAGTTATAGATTTCACTTCTTACTCAGGACACGCACATCCGTCTTTAAATAGCATGTATCACGAGGGGATCGTCGCGGAAAGTTTGTTCTTGACTGAGCAGGAGCTCATGCAATTGGTTGTGGGAAGACCACGAAGCAGCCTTGATGTTTACCGGCTGCTAGACAACCTGACTGAGCGCTTTGGTAGTGATGAGGAAGCTGCAGCTCGGTTTGTTAACTTTATCACGCACATTTTTGGGACTTCTATTGATGAGGATAAAGCGCTAAATAAAAGCATGAAAGAGTCTGATGACACATTAATCGAATTAAAACGTATTAGTATCAATAATTAAGTAGATAGTGGAGCGTGTGCTTCCCTTTCCTCTTGCCTTCCGGACTAGTGTTCTAGTCCACTGCATCCCGTCGTACGAATTGTAAAAACTAGCATCTAAAATCAGGGCCTCATTAGTGTTAATATGGGCCTTCTTAGGTGTAAATTGCGTCATTTCTATATATTTTTCGTGGAGTGTAATAATGTTTCCCGCGTTAATCATGCCTTAGATGACCATCTAATTATGTTTTTTTTCTGTTTGAATCTTTGATTCTTTGAAAAAGATTAAATGAAGCACCAGAAAAGAGATAATTTGTTTAACTCTCTCCTTTGTATCGCATTCATCTGAATACAGTCAATGGAACAACATATCTTGAACTGCTACATCATTTTTTTCTTCTTTTATTCATTTCCTTTCCAGCTTCAAACCAAAAGGAAACATATAAATACTTATTGCATTTTATTAGTGTTTTTTTTTAAAGTAATACTCTGCTAAAAAGCTGACATACTCATATTAGAGTGTTGCTATTCCTTTTTTCACATTTTCATTAATCTTTTTTTAAGGGTTAGTTTTTATTTACTTCCTTATTGTTTTTATCGTTTGATCAACAGTGCTTTATGTATGTGGATTCCTATGCTTCCTGTATCTATGATACAGGAGCTGTTTCGATGGTTGTATTCTGACACTAATTCTTCTCATACCGTAATTCATGGATTAAAAAGCACGCCAGAGTCTTCTATCCATGGCATACCTGATTCAAAAAGGACATACAGACAGAATGATGACAGTAGCAACAGTGGTTTCCGCTCTCCAGTGTTGATGCCATTACTCAATCCATACATAAACTTAGGCTTCGATGATGAAGCTACTTATGGTGATCGACTTGGCGAACCTTGTTGTTGTGATGTTATGAGAAATGACGTCGACTTAATTAAACGAAGCGAAAATTGGGAAACCCCACCCACTCAATCCATAACCGTAGATGAGGTTCACAAACCTCACCAGGAACACAATAGGAAAGATATCGAGCAACCCTTCATCGAGAAAGGCGTTGGTGACTTCCTAGAGGATGTCATTATTGGGAGGACGGACCACCTTCGTAAGCTGTTAGCGCACCAGACATTGGAAACTGTTACCGCAGCAACAAATAGAGCTCAAAATAATAATATGGGTGAAATCGTATCCAGTCCTTATGAAACGTCAGCTAGAGCAGACGCTGCTTCGGGCAGTCCAACTAGCAAAAAAGCTTCCCGTGATCGTCCTATCAGCTCTGCCGCTCGGTCTTTACAGGCCTACGAGCTGGTTGCATACATCGGCTCTGGTACCTTTTCCGAGGTTACGCTCGCTCGTCACAAAGTTACCAATGAGTTGTACACAATTAAGAAGATTTCAAAAGAGAAGGTCCACAAGGCGGGTTTCGTGGAGCACACTTTTATGGAGCGCAAAATGCTTGTCACACTGCATCATCCCTTTCTTGTGCGCCTTTATCAGGCCTTCCAGACGCGAACTCACCTGTACCTAGTGTTGGATTTCGCTCAGGGTGGGGATTTGTACTACTTCAATCTCGAAAAACGTTGGGTAGAGGAGATGAAACATCGACTTAAGAAGTCACGTTATTCTTGCTTCATGGCTCCAAATGTCATCGATCTTCTTGGGCGAACCCTCAACACAGAAAGACATTCAGTCTTGAGGAGTTCTGATAATCATGAAAACCTTCGTCCTGCTTTAAAGAGTGGGAATGCCCTCCACTTCGCAACTGTGGACGACAGGATTGAACACATCTCCCCGCAAACAGCCGACAACCATGAGGAAATGCTTATTTCTTTAACTAAAGTCAATAATGAGGACACAAGGAAGGAAAGCGCTTACACAACTCAATCACTTGCAAAAAAGATAAGATCGTCCTTGTCGCTTAGCATTGTTAATCCTCTCCCAAACCATGAAAATTGCAATTTGGCTTCTGAATTTATCGGAAGCAACACCAGCACACCACTTTTATATCGACACGCTAGTGACGATGAGTCCCCCCCAAAACTAATTGAGGATGAACAGAATCGTGAGATATTATTACGTAGAAATGATTCTATTAGCGCTATAACTGAACCTACCCAGGAAACTCAAAAAGGAAAGCATCTAAATCATCACTACGGTATCATGAGGGATAAATTACCTAGGGCCCCACTGCTTGGTAGACATTCAGAAGAACATTACCACCATAAACATTATATGAATCACTCACAACATCATCATTCTGAAGATTGCCGAGGTGCACTATACTTCAATATGGCATCGGAAGATTCTGATGGATCATACCCTGATCACGCTATTCGAGCCTCTAGTTTTACAAATGACGCATCTCGCGTATCATATGCATGCTCAGAGACTAGTATAGACTCCAATTCAGTATCTTCTTCCGCCCCTGCGTTTTCTGGCTTCAGTCCGCATAACCAGATTGATAGCTCTACTTATTGTGCGTCCAAAGATATGGAAGGAAGTACTTCAGCGATGCCACCGCTTGCTGACGATGCCTCACGCTTACCCATTCGGTACATCGCTTTTTATGCAATAGAGATAGCCTTAGTGTTACAGTATCTACACAGCAAGGGCTTTATCTACCGTGATCTCAAACCTGAAAATATCCTGCTACGACAAAGTGGACATATTCTTCTGACAGACTTCGGTGTCGCCAAGCTGCGCAAAAACTCTAGGGATGATTCAGACATCACAATAATGTCAAATCAACCCCTTGCGGAAAAAACTGGGATAGAGCGTACTCCAGGTTCAATGAACCAAATGAACCCATCTTGGAATGGTGAATTTTCAGCTACTAGTGGTGACAACGTAGAGGAGCGTTCTACAAGTTTCACCGGTACTGTGGAGTACATGAGTCCAGAGATGCTTCAAGGGATTCCACATGATACTCGTACCGACTGGTGGAGCTACGGCTGTCTTCTTTTCGAATGGGCTAACGGGCGCAAGCCTTTTGATGGCAACAGTCAGTTTATTCTCTTTAAGTCTATTGTTGAGGAAAACGTGCGTGTTATAGAAGACAAGGATTTTCAACTCACTGCATTGGAGCTTCACAGCCATGCGGCAAAGCTCTGTCTTCGGTATCATGAGCTCGTTTGTGAGCACAGACTCAGTGCCTTTCCGTGTGCCCAACAGAATCAGAAACCTCTGCAGCATGGTGATTCTGCCGAACATACTGCTACCGCTGAGGGAGAAGCAGAAGGAGCTGTGCCTCAGACTTCTCTGAGGCAAAACCTCCATTCTTCTCTATCACATAGTTTTCACTCTGCTAGTAACTCTACTGACAAAAATCTACGCGCAACTTTGTGGGATGATATTCATGTTGAGACACGCAAGCGGCGTCTTCGCGTCCCCGGTGTTAGAAAACGAAGTGTGTCATCGACTCACTCCATTCCGCTGACGACAACACCGCGGGTATGTAATGCCTTTGTGCGATATGCCCTTGCGGAGCTTCTCGAAGCCAACTTCCTTCTCCGTGATCTCATCCTTGGTCTACTGAATCGTGATATGGGAAAACGACTGTGTGGATCTATGGTCTTGGAGCACCCTTTCTTTGCTTGCCGATATGTCACTTCTCAGTTATACGATTGCGTTCACTCTACCCGCACTATACCGATAAAGAAAAGAAATCAGGGTAGATTAACGTTGGACAAAGCTTCTGAAATTCTACAAGGCGAAGAACAATCCAGTTCGATCAGTTCTTCGGCTGGACCTAGTGTCATATCCACAGAGGCATTTTTAGAGTGCATGCCCGTTATACAGCGCCCAGAAAACTGGGCAGAACTTTTTTCAACAATGAAAATCAGAGCTTTATATGTCCCAAAGTTACGTTCGAGAGATGACCTGCGCTACTTTCCCTCAGCTGTCACCGCGACTGGTCTGAGGGCCGCTGTGGAACAACACAAACTTATTAAAGAGGCTAGAAGTGAGATGATAGAGCACCTTCGGCAGACCATGCGACAAGCGGTGACACATTCTCAATGCAACGATGCAAGAATGTGCGTACAGCGTAAGAAGCATAAGGAACTCAACCTAAACGTTCAAGGGTCTTCTCAAGAGATGCCCATTTTTGACTCTGTGAGGTCACCCACGGACGTGAACCCTTCTGTGGTGGCCAGTTTATGCCACAACATAAAGCTCAAGGACATCAATGCAGATGAAGATCGGGATGAAAAAGCAACAGTTGCATTTAGCAAGGGGAAAAAGAACATTCACGGTGTTTATGCCCCACCTGCACTTCCGATGCTCCTTCAACCAGCCATCCAGGGACAGCTACTAGTAGATGACGCAGCACAATTGACGGAGTCACGAAGTAATCCTTGCAGCATTACAAATTTTGGGACAATTGCACACGAAGCGTCCGCTACAGTACCTTCTTCCTCACGCTGCACCGAGTTACCCCCTCCTAGTGCTAAAATTCATCCTAGAGTCGACCATGCGTTCCGCATTCCCAAGAAAGATCTCCCTGTGGTACACATCACGGCAACAGCTAATGCACTTGAGGACGGCAAAGGAGGTCTAGGTGTAGGAGACCAATGTTCTGCCGCTTTTTTACATCCAACAATGAAAGGAACGCAGAGAGGTGATGGTAATGAAAACAATGGTTCCTTTAATTTCGATACCGGTGGCATTGATTCTGCGGGCTCTTTTACCTCAGGCGATCCATTCAGTGTGCCTCGGAACATGAACGCGAAAATTGAAGAAAACATCACAATCGAGTACTCTTCCAAACCTCTTGACGATTCTGATATAAGCAAGACAAGTATTCGGTGCTTGACCTCCGAGGACATCTTTGCACGTACTGCGGTTCTTCCAGAGGACTTTGTTGCAGCTGCCATTGTCGCAGGGCATAAACAAATGGAAATGAATAATAATTCAAAGCCTCAGCCGTCAGAGAGTTTGGGATCACAACGAAATCAGAGTTTTGGAGCTGGAGCTAACAGCGCAATGCGACTTGTCGATAAACCGAATGAGGGGGGCCGGAACAGTGCGGGGATCAACCATGACGGAAGTGGTGACTATTATGACTCTAACGCAACTGAAGAGACGACACCAATGACGGGTGCTATGCGTTCACAAGAAGGATTCGCTGAGACGCGCGCCTTGAAAGGGTATCACTGCGTTTTTAATAGCGACATCTGGAGCGGTGAGGAAAGGGGCGCGGGTTTGCAAAGCCAGAGTATCAAGTCTAAGGACGTGAATGCGGTTTCTATAGAAACTACAAGTCTTGAGTGTATTAGCGATGATATTTCGGGCCTCAGTACCGGCCGTCACCTTGGCGGTGAGAACACATATTATATGGAGAAAGTACATCCTGCAGAAGGGAAGGATCATATAGGAGATGATGTGAACAACCGTTGTAGTTGTGCCAAACAGAGCGTAGTAAATAAGGTACCGATATCAATTCCTACTAGGCCTGCTGTTGATGAGGTAGAGCGTGATCAAATTCATAGCAATATTAGTAATAGTAGTAGTAATTTATCGGAAAGATTACCTTCAAGTGTATGCATGAATGAAAGGAGCTCTTATCCTTCGTACGCTGTTTATGATTATGATGGTAATATGATTTCTGGTGACATTCATTCATCACCTAATGCGACCGATGTACACGCATTTTGGGCTGATAATAACCATGATACTTTTTCGAAAAGTGGGGATCACTTTTGCAATCTTGTGAACGGAAGTCTTCCTGTTCTCACTTTGAATTCATCACGGACGGCAACACACGGCTCTTTGCATCAATTGGACTCAAATGTAGATCCAGAACAGGGTATGCTGCATGCTGGGGAATCACTGTTTAACGACCTCTGTATTGAGAACCCTAACTTTGAGGACAGTCCCTTTTACAATCAGAACGAGGAGTTTCTTGTAGATGGCTCGACGTATCCCACGTGGGGAGTCATTATGAGCCGCACGTACGCAGACACCTATCCTAATAACGTAAGCACTTTACATGGTATTGCGTATGACGTGGATGATGAAAGCGCTAACAGTATGACCATCTGCAGTCGCACAGGTGCCAATCCCAGCTCCCCTAAACAAACATTGAGTTTTACACGAACGCATGAGAGTACAGGAAGAAGTAGGTCCATCAAAACCTTAAAATCATTCCAAACAGAAGATGGATCACGAAACGACGACATCACCCCTTTACCCTTTTCGGGCTTATTATTACCATCCAAGCTTGATTTCTCTTTAGGAAATATACACGCACAGGCTACAAAGATATGCCACCCATCTGCATCTCCTCGAGAACTATGGCAGAAACGAATGCGCCAGCGAACAACCACTCCATCTTCCCCCGTTATCGAGGATAAACTGCCTATACGCAAGCAGAGCGTTGAGTTTCTCGGTTTTACGTATGATGGTCATGTTTTAGAAGGTGGTTTCCTCGGTTCTGAAAGCACCACTCTTACAACAAATTTCTTCGATGACAATGACGACAACGATAGCCTATCCGCAATACACACTACCAGCACTTCTTAGACAGTGTCACCAGCGTGTGGGCTTGTCGATTCTTATGACATTCCTAGAAAAGTTTATCGAAACAGAGTAGGGAGCTTTATATGGTTAAATGGTGTACATTTGGCGCACAAACGACACAATCTCAATGCAACCTCCTTTCTGGATTGCTTTATCCGGATCGCCACTTTGAGGCAAGGGTATTGCTTTACATAAGAAAGAATTTCGGATACACAAGTAATAGGGTCTTAAATCCTACATATTCACAACATAGGTAAATGGAGCGGCTTTCTTCGTTGATGTGCTTAATTTTTTAAGATGATCTCGTTTATTTCGTTACGTTTTCGTGTCCGGATATTATTGTTTTGTTAGTGTCCCTTTATATTTTATATAAAGGTATAAATGATCCGGTTAAAATACACCTTTTTTCTGGTATTATTTATCTACTTGTTTTCATTAGTTTTCGAGGCACTTACTTTTATGGCTTCAGTGTACAAATCATAATCACGAGAAAGAGGGCATCATTACTATACAGGATACACATGTGAGCCTGAATTATGGGTTCTGAGTGTTGTCAGGATTTGAGCCTACTTGATATATCTATTTCTCTTTAACTGATGCAATTTTTTTTGATCTTGATCAGTGTCAATCCTTTCCTTATAACTTAAAATTTAGTTTTGCTTGTGGGTTACATAACTTTTACATATATTTTATGGTATCTGAATTACGTATTTTGAATAGTGTTTCTGTTATTTAAGGGAAAAGAATTTCTTATTGTAAAAGTAGGCTTTGTTGTATTTTTAGACACATTAAATGTCTTACACATATATGTATATATGAATATGTATTTATTTGTTTATACTTTTTTTAACCAATGATTGATTTGCATCATGTTGAGTTAATATCTCTACATATATTGCATTGTTCAATCTTTCTTTCATGAGGAGAAACCCAATTTTGCCAAAAAGGAATCATGAACGTATTACAAAGCGAGGATTCGCTATCTTTGGGAAAGAAATGATAGACGAAACACACTTTAGTGTACTTTTGTGTCTTAAGAATTTTGATAAAGATTTTGATATAAAAATACAAAGACGTATGAGGTAATTTGTCTGACGTTTAAGTAGAAAAAAAGTGGAATTAAGGCGCAATCCTTTTGAGTTTTTTTTTAGCTCTGGTAATTGATATGGAAATATAGGAAACTACTTTTGTGTTTTAAGTACAATAATTTGAGGTGATCATTACTTTAACAGGATCCTTCAATTTACTCCTTGAAAATGAAAATATAAAGAGCGATTATATATAGATGTATATATATATTTACTCTATGTTTCTACGTTCCCATTCATTTATTCTGCTCCAGTTGTTGTTATTTTTATGGAGTAAAACTCGAAGTGGATCGAGAGAACTGTCCAAGCACAAGGAAAACTATGTCACTACTGTTACTCCATTTCTTATAACTCAATGAAGTAAAAAACGATTTTCTTTTTTTTTTTTACCTGCTTTAATCTTTTAACTTCATCAGTAATGTACTGAGAACCGCATATAAAACAATACAGAGTTGTGTTCAATCGGAAGGACATATGCAAAAATGAAGATGAGGGGAGAAGTGCTTCCTGTACACCTTTACACATACATTCGCACACAAGGAAGTGTCTTGATTGGGGTATTCCAAGAATAATACAGCTTATATCCTTGTAAAATTTTTATTTTGAGCCTTTTCTTTATTTTTTCAAGTTTACCCTACAACACAAGCTACATTTTCCAGTAGGAAATAAAAAAGGGCTAGTTCCACAAAAGTGACACACATACACATATATATATATTAGGGTAACTGTACATGTCTCAATATGATAAAGGGCTCGAAGTGAGTTTTTTAGATGAATTGCGTTTGCGGTACGGTACCGATGATATAGAAACCTACGACCCATCAGCGTTTCTAGTTGGGTTTGGTGGAAAAAGTAACAAGAAGTGGGAACTTGTGGGAATGGAGAAAACACGCATTAAACAAGCATGCTATGACAGGCTTGTACATGTAGTGCTGCATAATACGGAAATGACAGTGGCCGTGAAGCAAAAAGAGGTTTTCAATAGGGAAAGTCAGGGTCATGATATCACCGTCAACTCTTCGATTCCATCTCCAAAAGATCAACTGCAAGCATTATGTATGCGCTGTCTTAAAGATCTTGATCTTTCTAGAAATTTAAAATTCCCCTTTATTGAACTTGTTAAGCTGATTAGCTACTTCCCTTCTCTCGAGACGCTACAGGTGAGTGATTCACCGATGCTTCTTTCGACAGCACAAGATCTCACTTTGACTGCGTCACGCACAATATCTGAGCTTACCCTTACCTCAACCAGAATCACCAAACTAGTCTTTAACAATACAGGATTTAAGTCTGTATGCACCCTCCGTGTTTTGGTAGAGCTTCCAGCTTTAGAGGAGCTTCATTTAGATAGCAACAATATTGGATCGTTTCGGCTGTTCTTATCGAACGAAGAGGAGGCCATGTTCCGTGCTAGTTTACCGTCAAATCACGATGACGCAGTTTTGTTATCGTCGCTGTGCTTTTCAAAAGTAACAACCCTTAGTCTAGCGCACAACAAGCTCCATTCCTGGGCCGCTGAGGATCTCGGTGAGACACTCATGTCAGCCTTTCCTGTGCTCACACATCTCTATCTTGATGACAACCAGATGCCAGATGTAATTCTGGAGCAGGAGGTACTGAGGCAGCACAAGGAGGACGCAATTTTACAAACTCTTCAAACATATCATTCAGATACCCTCGCTGGGTACACTTTCCTAAAGCCACTCAGATTTCTTTGCCTGAAGGACAATCCTACACTCATCGACTCGCGCACTATCGATGCAGTACGCATCCTTTGCCCGTGTCTAGAAGCATTTCGAATCACTTATAGCACTCTATTTCCGCAGTGGAACGACACATTGAGCCGTATGTACGTCGTAGCATCGCTGCCCACTATTGAGCTTCTTAACAGAGGCCAGGTACGACCTAAGGAGCGTCTAGATTCAGAAATCTTTTATATTCAACGTGGGATGTCAAAGCAAGAGCCTGGACACCATGATAAATGTAAAGTTGAAAATGGACTAGTTGGTGTAGAAGTTGATACCGCGGCGCAACTTTCCGCGATAAAACAACCTGATTATTACATTCTAGATACTTTGTTTGAGAAGCACAAGGATGTGGTACTGTCCATTTACAGAGAGGATACCACTGCCAGCACAGATGGAAGTTCACATATCATGTTGAACGTTACATTACATTGCGAAAATAACTTTAAACCCATTGGCAGTAACCGTGAAAACATGAATATCTTTAACACAGTGAAGAAGACATTGCCAAGTAATATCATGATCGCAAAGCTAAAGTCACTTATTAGAATTGTGTTTCAGATCGAACCGACAAACCAAGCGCTAAGCTTCCGAAGTGGGGACACGGAAGTGCTGGATATGGCGATCGCTATGGATAACGAACAACAGACATTGGCATATTATGGTGTATCAGATGGCGCAAGAATCATGGTTCGAGATACATCATTACGCTAGAATGAGGGAACACATTAAGGTTGGAAATCAAGGTAAATATCATAAACATAATAAATATCGCACTATAGGTCCAATGCAAGACTAGGCTACATTTATCTCAGAGCCCTTTATAAATTTTTAACAAACTTTTTATTACTACCGGTATATATTTCATGTTTTATTTTCAGTTTTGTTAATATTATTCCATTAAATAAGGTTGGAAGTTTATGTAGCTGGTATAAGAAAAATTAGAATGTCATCTTCCTCTATTTTTTGTTCTGCTAGTCCTTTTTTTCTTAGCCGTTCCTTCTCACCTTATTTCTCACACGACCTTAAAAAAAAAGTCAGTGGCTTATTTCCACACAAAAAATTATCCCTGAGTCGGAGA